AGTCGGGCGCGGATAGTACTTGGATGGGTGACCACCTGGGAACTCCGCGTGTTGTTGGCTTTTTTTTTCTTTTTAAATTTAATAATTCTATTTAACAAAAATATTTCTCTATTCGAATTACCCGCAGTAGTAATTTTCATTTCATAATTCGCGTTATAACGAATTCAAGTACCTTTGTACGAACAGTTGAATTGTTCTCCTGTCTCATCCCATCGCGTATTGTAATTTACGTAGTTCCCTCCGATCTTCAGTCTTACACACGGGAACGAACGCTTTTGTTGGAAATTCAGCATTTTGCACCACCGGTTATGGAACATTCCGTAAATTACACTGTCAAATGTAAGAACCTACTGCACCTTCGACACATTCCATAGTGCCATTCAACGAATTTCATTCTTCTAGTCTTCTCAGTTAAGATAAGCACCGAGATTATTAATTTTCCAAGATCTTAGTATAAAACGCTTGGAAAATGTGAAATTCCGATTGCTTCTGAAAAAAATTGTGTTCCGAATTACCCCGTTCACGTACAACCAGCACGTTCAACGAATATATAATGTTTGGGCATCAAAGCTGATGTCGCTTCGACACTCATCTTGCAACTACAACTCGTCTCCCGAAAGCTCAGACTTAATCGAGTTTATTAATTATTGATCAGTTGTAATAAGATTAGCTCGCTTGTGCGCTTCGAGGGACAGTGAACCATTAACTGTCACCCTGCTATGCCACCGTACGCTTCTGAATAACGTATCGCCGTCTGAACATACGATACTAATTTTTGCTCGTCCCTGAATCATTTAAAGTAAATTGAAATAATTCCTAATTAAAATAGATTCCAAATCAAACTTTCCGGTCAAAATAATTGGAACGAAGTTCCATACCTGAAATAATTCATAATGAAAATAGAAAAATCAAATATTGTCAGAGGTTTGCTTTAATTGAATATCTTTATCAGAAACTGGAACAATTCTATACTTAACATTTGAAACTTCTTGCAGCAAGCGATAAAGTGTCTAATACAATTAACAGAAAGTAATCCATTTTTGATCAACCAGGAAACAGTAAAGAAATTGAAGAAATTGAATAAGCGTTGGATTCGTATAACTGCTTTCTAGAATAACTTATGAATTAAGCTCTTCTTTCCATTTTATATTCCTGAAGAGTTAATCTGTTTACCGGAGTATATTCACTTAAGATAAAACGGATACTTCTATTACATTATAAGGATTTTAATTTTAATTGTTTATCAGTGATTTTCATTTAAATTGTTTTTAAACATTCTCAATGAAACGTGAAAGTTTCACGATTCTCCGCGCTGATTATACACCATCAACTTCTAATTCACCGCTCCAAACATTTTGTTTGTATAGAGAGGTACAGATATCGTGCGCCTGTTAAAATATTATCACAACCGGGGAAAATGAATTTTAATGAAAATTCAAGTTTCGATCTGTATATAATACATACTCCGTTATTATTAACTCGTGAATAAAACTCAGTATATTTAACTCTATGTAAAACTCGTGTTTCCCTACACACACACTTTATCGATAAATTTGAATTTCAATGTAGGAATAAAATTATCATTTATTTCTTTTTTCCCGTGTAGGTTCAACCTTCAGGCAAACGTAATATTACTTAAAATTTAAACCCTATTAGATATTGAAATAATATTTTGCTAAAAATTATAAGTGCAGTTTCCTTTTAATCAAATGAAACATTGTACTATCTGATCAATAAGAATTATCTAATTAGTGTAATGGTTTGCAAATTACCATTTGACTGATAAATTTAATTAATTAGTGTGTATATCTTAAACTTTGCATCGACTTTAAGGAAATATTTGTCAAATAAATAGACGGTCACCGGTAAAGTAATCGTTCCAGTATAAATAAGAAAGAAGTAAAAGAACCCCTAATAAATGAAGCAATTTATGCATGCCTATGTTTGCACAACGTTTATTTATTCGAATGAGAACGCGACCCTTTGAAGTTCATCGAAGCATTTCCTATATTACCTGAAGTCTGCTTTTCACGGTTAATTAGTCGCTGATATGCAGTTTTCTATTGATAATCAAACAACTAACTCGGCAGTGGAGCAAAGTGATTTTATAAAATGAACCTTCAAACTGTGGAGTAGTCAAAAATTGACGGGCAAGTTCTCTAAATTGATAGCTGAAGTACTTTAAAACGTTAGCTGAAAGAGAGGTACACGATATTGGAGTCTGGAAACATTTTGTTGATTACATTTCATTGGATCACAGGAAACTGCAGCTGCAATTAATTCAATCTTTTCTATCCTTGTCACGCTTTGTTCCTCTCTTTGATTTCCTACCATTGTTTTCCTCGTTCGATCAGCCCTCCACTTCAAACACCCTGTCTCGGATTTTACTTTTCTTCCTTTTGTTGACACCTATTCCCCATCTAGTCTACTTCCGAGAAAATCCTGCTCCCCTTGCTTCTACGTTGCTTCCTCGTTCGCGGCATTTCTTTGACCTTTTTTTAATTGAAAAGAGCGGTCGTCGTGAACGCCTGACGTGAAAACAGATCTACACTCGGAGTATTTATCGATTGGCGACAAAGCGAAGAAAAAGATATTGGGGTGCTCGAACACCCTTAATATTATAGACTATAATTATCAAACGCAAGGTAGGTACATTTTAAACTAATTAGTATGCAATGAAATTTTTTGTATCACAATTAGAAATAAAATCACTCGTATTAAAAAATTTCTTATTATAAATAAAATTTGACGAAATATTCTATGTTACTTATATTTGAAAGTGTTGTCCTTGTTTTTTAATGCAGAATAAATCCCTCGGGGGTTGTACTACAATTTTCAGCTTACCTGGTATAGGGATGGGCAGATAGTGACTAATTAATTGAACACGATACTGCTATCTTATGTCGTACAAGCCTCTTAGCAAACACATAATGCACTAGTCATTGTTTATAACTCGCTCGTGTCACACTTAACAAGGAAAGTTAGGTAACCCGGAAATTCAGAAAATTACGAAACTTTGCGTCTAAGCTTAGTAATTTGCTCCTAGAGCTAACTTATTTTTGTTGGTGTCGTGGTATGATTTTAGGGGATGAAATCGTCCCTCGAAGAATACTATTAATTTATGTTGCATTCGTGCTTCTTACGTTTGTTTCTTCATCGTTATAAAAATACTTCAATTCCTGTTGGCATACTTACCAGGAGCCACTACAGATGGTTCACCAAACGGATTCTTTCGCAAGCAAAGTTTCTTCGTAAGATATCAGAACATCCGAAAATAAATGTCTTTCGTTGCTTCTTGAGAAAACGTTTCAAGAGGATGTCGAGTTTGATTATAGAGAACGACTACTTTTTACAGTGAAAATTTACAGTAATTTTTCTCTTGAGCACTCGCTAAAGGACGTCAGAAGTAAGTTGAAAAGAAGGGGGTAGAAGAGTAGATGAACACAGGGTTCTCAGATAATAAGAATCTGTAGTGATACTTATCTTTCAATAAAACCAAAGAAGAAAAGTTTTAATTAGGGGAAAGAGCACTGAACCGATTTGTACAGTAGCATCTTGTAGGGACTCGGGAAAAATATGGATCGTTGCACAATGGCGTGTTTCGTGAATAAATTTAATTTGCGACTTGACGGATAATGAAAGGGTTCAAACATACATTCTATGAAAATCTCGCAAACTCAATTTTATCATTTTTATGCAATCAGTTTATTTACTTTTAATTTTAAAACAATTTTATCATAATTTTACATAAAGTTTAACAAATGTCGTGGAACTTTTGAGTAGGATTGTACGCAAGGAAAATATTCAGAGGACCGAAATAGGATAAAAGCTTCTCTTCGTTGCATAGGATACAAAAAAAAATGTATAACAGAGGGAACAAAGAAAGACGAAAGGGAAAACAAGACCTTTTTTCATACACAGGATGTTTGGTAAATGTGGTCGAAAGCTGGTCTCGTATCCTTTTATATTGTACTTTATTTTCTTTAATTAATAGCAGTTGATATTCAGATGGGTATTGTACTCTGTATGTCAGCCGTAACTCATCGAGAGTCCATTAAAATTGAATTTTGACCGCACGCTTTTGTCGCTAGGACGAATAAATACAACGGATAAATATCGAAAAGGTATAAATTCCTGCCACGGGATTTTCTGCCGTTTACTCGATCGTATTTGCTTATAGTACGATGAAATCGGGCCACCTGTGATGATTTTCCGCCGAGGAAAATTGAACGAACATCGCCTTTGACTCTGTACTTTCACGTGCCCGGTAAAAGGCCAGCTGAAATATGAAAGTCGACTACCATTTCTGCCCTTTCCTATTTTTTTTCCCTCCCCCATCCTCTCCAATGTTATATCGTTGCTTATGCAGACGATTGGTACGTTTTGCAAAGACGAAATCTCAATTTTGTACATGGTAGAATCGACGAGAAATTGCTAATCTGCAGAAAACTTCCATTTTCTGTTTTACGCAAAGGGTAGATTTTCAGCAACCGTTCGAAACTTCCAATTTTTTATCAAAACGTTGAAGCGACTAAATTCTGTATTCTCTTTTTCTTTAATGTTTCACTGTATTTGTGAAACGGCTTACCTTTTTCTGGAATAATTATTGGAAAAATGAAATCTCGATTTTGAACAGAGTTTCCTATATGAAAGTAAGCTGTGTCTGTTGGATCGATAAAAATTGAGGTATCAGGAAATATTGAAAATTATTTCAAACTTTTAGAGCAAGCCCTAGAATGGTTTTATTGTTTTTTACTATTCTTTATATTTCTTCGTTTGAAAATAAAATCGTAGACTTTATTTGAAGGTTTATAACAGCAAAAGATACCTCTTTGAAACTTATCTATTCTCAAAATAAATATTTCTGAACAAAAATAGAATTTATCAGTTAGTTTATAATAAATCAATCATGTGACGATTGTATTTGACCAAAGATAACAATGAACAGTTAATAAATTAATTTTTAAATTAAATACTAATTGATAATTGCAATTTTTTAGGAAGTTTTGCATACTGTAGGGCGTGTATCCGTTCTCAGAGATGAAGGAGGTCGCAAGCTGTTCAATTTATAATTTCCTTTGGGGATCAGAGAAGCAAACGACAAGAGGAAGTTTCCACGGAGAACGGCCAACTATTTCCAGCGACAGTTAAGTCTTCCATCGGGATTACCGTAGTTTCCACTTTACCTGACCTACCGCAAAACTCTATTGACACGGCTACAATTTCCTTTCTCGAGGTTAGAAAGTAAAGATTATGAAGAGCTCGTACTTTATTCCTTCATTTTCATTCGAGATCCTTCGTGACTCAGTCAGTCCTTTTTCTTCCTTTGATATTCGGGAGTTTTTTGATTTTTAATAAACAACTCAGTATTTATAAAATATTTATATTACTTTATTGTATGTCAAAATACAGATATGATTTTATGATATAAAGGTGCTATATAATATCACTTATGACACATCAATTTAAAACTTAAAGATTGTTGAAAATGACCAGACACTCCTTCAATGTTGTCCTTGTTTCTGTTACAGGAGAACATGCAGAAATCATCTCTATCCTTGTGGTGACTACAGATACAAGAAGACTGGACATTCCTTTGTTTTCGAGGGGCATCATTTTGGAGGTTCCAGACATCCAGGTGACGTTAGACGGTATGACCAGTCCTGCCTATTTCACCAGTCCTTCTTCTATCACATCTCGCCTTGACAACTGAAAAACACAATTTTTACATTCTTTAATTTTCTTCCTTATACAAAATCATAATTATTAATTCAAATAATTGTTTAACAAACTTGTATTTACTTGATACGTCTTAGTAAATAAATTACTTTAAAATAGCAAATGACTATTTATTCAACTTACCCAATTTCCTTTCTGAATTATTAATTAAATGCGTTCAATTTCTTCCCTGATTGAATTATTTATTCAAAAAACCAAAAGTCAGCGCCCTCTAGCGGCAAACATTTGAACTAAATTTTCGATGTCGAATCAGCGCCATCTGGTTTTAGAAAAAGGAACTAAAGCATACCGAAATTTTGGCCCTCTAGTGGCAAAAATTTGAACTAAATTTTCGATGTCGAATCAGCGCCATCTGGTTTTGGAAAAAGGAACTATATCATGCCGAATTTTTGGCCCTCTAGCGGGAAAAATGTGAACTAAAATCTCGACCTCGAATCAGCGCCATCTGGTTTTAGAAAAAGGAACTAAATCAAGTAGTAATTTTGGCCCTCTAGCGGGAAAAATGTGAACTAAAATCTCGACCTCAAATCAGCGCCATCTGGTTTTAGAAAAAGGAACTAAATCAAGTAGGAATTTTGGCCCTCTAGCGGGAAAAATGTGAACTAAAATCTCGACCTCGAATCAGCGCCATCTGGTTTTAGAAAAAGGAACTAAATCAAGTAGGAATTTTGGCCCTCTAGCGGCAAAAATGTGAACTAAATTTTCGAGGTCGAATCAGCGCCCTCTGGTGGTAAAAAAAGGAACTAAATTTTGCAGAGATATAAGGAATGCAAAGATGTAAAGGATGCAACAATGTAAGGAATAGAGCAATATAAGTGTTACAGGGATGTGAGGATGTGCCTGAATATAAGGAATGGAGTGGTGTAAGGAATATAGAGATGTGAGGGATGTACAGATGTAAGAGATGCAGAGATGTAAAGGATGCAGGGATGTAAGGGATGGAGGCATGTAAGGACATAGACGTAAAGCATATAGTAAAGTATAGTAAAGTGATGCAAAGATGTAAGGGATGCATGGGTATAAGGAAAGCAGGGATGTAAGGAAAGCAAAGATGTAACAGATGCACGAATGTAAGGGATGCAGGGATATAAGAGATGTAGAGAACTGAGAAGGGTGAGCCGGGGCCCATGAATAGAGATAAAATAATAAATAAAAGAATTAAATAAACGCAGGAAATAAAATAAGTGTACATGTAGGTTTAACAGGTACGTTCGCACCCTTCGGCGGTCGCTATAAGACTGAAGAGGTCTCACCTGACTCTGGATCAAGCTGAGTACAGCGATACCCAATCAGGAATGACGTTCCGGAAGTTAGATAAACAAATAATAAGTCAGTTGCTGTTTTAAAATAATTTATTCACCAAGGCACATGAAGTGAATACAAATTTGTAAAACAATTATTTTAATAATTTGTGTTCATTTAACTGATTTTTAAAAAGATAGAATCAAAGATAGTGTCAAAATTGTCTTTTTAGTTGTAAATGATAAAAGGTGTGATAAAAGGTGGACTGGTAAACCAGGAATGACTGTCATACCGCCGGTTCGGGGTGTCTGGAACTCCCAAAATTATGACCCCTCGAGAATAAAGGCATGTCCAGTCTTTTTGTATCTGTAATCACCGACCCGTCTCTGAAGTTTCTTAGTTTCCACTCGTGAGGTCCTCAGAACGTGTGATGTTGAACAGCCATTGTGACATAACTTGAAATTAAACATTGTAAATTATCCACTGAGAGAAACAAATTGAAATCAAGAAGGAATGAATGACAAGCTTCATTTAGAATTAAGAGGAATAAGTTTTTACCTGTGGTATAGAACGTTGCATTGTAGAGCACGTAGCTCCAATTCGTATTTAGGAAACCTTTAGGCAACAAAAGTTTGTGTCTCTAACTTCATCGCTTTTCGTAACTTAACATGCGCGTTTGTTTTCTTTCGTGGAAACTTTATTGTCACTTGTTATTCCGTAAATGGTTTCGATTTCTTCGAAATTCCTTTCTCACTGCAATTTCCACCCCTTTGTCGTAAAGTTTCACTGTCCAACTTGGGCGAAACTTCATCAACTCGTTTCAGTCGCATTCAGAATCCACCGTTCTTTATTTCTCTTGGAAGTTATAAACGAAACAATTTCAACGCCAAATAAAACTTGTCAGTTTGAAATATCGCTGCATTATAACACTTCTTTTAATTTAAAGTGCAGCTGCAAACAGATCTTCTAAGTGATTTCAAATCTGATTAGATAATTTAAAATCATAAATTAACCATAATATTACTACTTCCTTCCTTCAAGTTGAAGATATTGAACATTTAATTAAATAATATTTCTGTGCTTAAGGAAATTTATTCATAATTAATGGTAACTCTGAAATAATGGCATCCCCTTTTCCTACAGTGCTATCTTCCCTAAGGAAGTATACTATGCTTAGCACTGTACATCCTGTAATCTATAGAATTCTCCAAAGAAAATTTATACAAATTAGCTGAATTAATTGACAATAATGAAAGGAAAAAATATTAACGTTCGATGAAGATGTCTAATCCTTCCTTTGTTTGGGAAAAAGTACCTGCAGCTTTGATGCCTACGACAAGGGAGATTAATGATCCCTCTTTTCCCATTATACCAGGCATCGATTTGTCGAAGTAGCAGAGATTGGTTTTGGTGTAATAAGAACACGTTGTTCGATGCTGTAGTTAGACCCTTGATTCCCTTTGATCCGATCTCTATTAGAATTGAGTGTATGTACCGAAGGATCTAGCAATAAACGCTGATGCACCATGTAATAAGACATTTTATGAAAGCTTGGTTTATGTTCCCAGAAATATAGCAACACAAAATTGAACGAATAAAGAAGAAAAATTAATTTCTAAAATGCAACAATCTTAATTTATACCTGCTTTGAATTCTCCTGTATTTAAATAATAAATAAAGTTCAATTAAAGATAGTAAATTAAATTTTCATTTAATCGTCCTTATAATCAGATAATTAAAACTAATTAAACAAAAAATTTAAAGTGTTTAATTGAGAGCTAAGCCATCCACACTCTGGATATTGAAAAAAACTACATCACGGTATCGATTATCTGATTTAAGCAATTAGAGAACGGAGAAACAAAATAGAAAATGCATCAAGTGCACACATTTGCGATTGTATAAGCATACGGAATAGGTAATCAGAATGGTACACGATGGACAGACGAAAGCAGCGGAACACACGGTCGGAGATGTACACAAATGGACAAGAGAATCAGGACACTAAGTCCTATCAATAATGTTCACCTTTCTAGTAGAATTTAAAGCGAAATTAACATTCGTGGCAAGAAATGCACTTCATTAAATCACAGGTGTACGATGCATGACTTTACTCTTAATGTCACTAATCATTTCAGAAGATCGTGTTTGAAATTTCGTTATTTTACGCGATGAAATGCGATGTGCCTTCTTAAAATTCCATACCTATTTTCGCGGATCTATAACATGAATGATAGATCTTCTGTCTAGAGCATCTAGAAATTTCATCAGTGCATATTCAGCTGCAAACTTATATTTGTCCTTGTCAGAAGCACCCCTTATCACATATTCATCCCAGCTGTTTGAAAATTTTTCATAATAGTATTTTTTTAAAAGCATCCTTCATTTTATGATATTTTCAGTCTGACACGAACGAACGATATACACGTGTTGATAATTACCAAAAAAAAGAACCGATTTATCTGAAATGTCATTTCTGATACTGTTCTAATCTCGCAAACTTGTTTCACTGCATCGTCGCTGATAACTCAACAGAATATTCGAAATATTCCATAGCAATTTTACGCAGCATACAATCTGGACCAATAACGTTTTACAGGGTTGCTTTGGTTCTGTTACGATAACGGTTAACGATATTGGCTCCCCTGTTACCCTCGTAATATTTGTTATCAGCATTAACGTAAAATTATCTTTCAATAAAATCGAACGATTCAACTTTGACGATGCAATTTCTGCGACACGTGTTTCTGACGCATCGTTTCCATGAATATGAAATAACGAAATGGAATCTAACTATCTGCAATGTGTGAGAAGAACACGAAGAAGAGACAAAAATTTATAATCTTTCCTAAATATAGTGTATTAACAACGTTACTAGCAGGCCGAAATAAATATAAAGTCTCCTTTATTTTATCAGATGGGTGGACATGAAATATTGGATTTTAATTACTCTTCAAAGCTGGTAGAGTCGCTTTGATTCTTTTGTTTTAGAAACTGAATAACGGTACACCACCTAAAGGCTTGATTTCATAGTTACTCTCTGTAAAGAACTTCTCTTTGAAAGCATTTTTGTATTTTTGAAACGTGGTCAAAGCCACCGTGAATTGAAGTTGAATATTAAACTATCATATTTTTAATCATCAAAAGTTAGGACGAATGAACCAAGTATGGGTAAAAAATATATTATTCACAGAAAACTGACTGCATTTCCATTAATTAAATACTAATCTACTGTAGAGATGTCGTATTACTTATTGCAATTTCAACTGGTATATCGATTTTGTCTCCGCTGAAAATATTCCTCGAATCTAGTCGAGTATCGTGTGAAATTCAGAGAGCTTATGAAATTTGGCTCTCTTACAATCGAACTATGCTTTGATAATATTGAAAACACGGTTTGCCAATATCGGGCCAATTCGTTACCGTTACTGTGGAAAGGATGGGACAGCAATTTCCTTAACGACACATATCCTTTACCTGGTTTTCTTAAATTGCTACGGTTTTGTAGTACCATTATTTATAGAGGACGTTTCTGAAATGATTCGAGTTATGGAAGAAGGTTCAATTTGTTATTAATTTTTCACGAATTAGTTTCATGCAGTGGAGCAAAGTGTTGTGCAGGTTCGGTAAAAATTTGAGCAAGAAAATATTGATCCATTCTGCAGGAAAATATGGTACCAAAAAATGGTTCTCAAGGTTCGTGCATGCCGTTCTGTATCGTACTGTAATTTTCGCAATTTTGCGAAATTTTAATGAATTTTTTTCTACCATTTTCATATTCAAGCAATACAAAGAAATCGATTCAGTGAAACAGAAATATTCATACACCACTTTGAAAAATTATAATTAAACAAAGTGCAAAATAAATTTTCCAGCTTCAAACATATCAGGTTTAACTAAAATTATGTTGAATTGTAATTAAAATCATAGTCACTGACCAACGGAAGGAACTAATTACTATAGTCGTTGTTATAATCCACAGCATAAACAATTTCGTAATTTCCGTTCGTTAATGGGATTGAACGCGAAATGAAATCCATTCGATTGTCGGAAAAGAGGTATTTTCACGGTTCTCGTTTGTTTCAATCTCTCTTTTTCCCCTTTCCTACATTGGGTGTATTTGTTTTCATTCGTTTTTTACATATACTTTTTCCAGTCTCCTTTTTCGAACAAACTAATACACGCACCCCTATTCTTCAATAAAATTAAGGCACCCTCGTAAGTGTATGTACTTTCTGATAAAGTCGTTTACACCCGCTTTTCCTTTTCCATATTCACAAACATTGAAACCTTGCCAGTGAGTCAGGTTTAGTTCTTATTTAAATTTCAACAAAATAAAATTAAAATTAAATATACACACAGTCCCTTCGCTAATTGTTCTTTGACGAAATCGAAGCCTTTGTAAAATATCACTAAAAACTATATTCGGTCAAAAATCGTTAACGACGATACATTTTATTGAACCGAAATTTTCTAGTCACAGAGGGACGGTTTCAAAGACAAACTAGGCTAATTTCGTTTTGGATTTAACGAAGAAGAAAAGCGTTCAACCTACCGCAGGATTTCCGAGGGAAATGCTGTTTGTTACGAAAAAACGATCGATTGTAAAATGAATGATTCAATTTTACACGGTCGCGGGGAAAATCTTTATGGAAATTTCTGGGAATATATTCGACAGATGAGGCGGTAGAAAACTGGGACAACATTCTTGAACTAAATTTTCAATATTGACAAGCAAAATTTATGGACAGCGTCAGATAACTGGTGGCACGTCGAAGATGTAAATTACTATTACTGCCTGGAAGAGTTATTTCGTAAAAATATTACCGATGGCCTGTTCGATTTATCTCTTTTTTAAAAGTCCGTCGAACTTTTAACATAGTTACAGTCGTCAGTTTCACTGTACGTTTAATCAATCCGTCACAATTAATTCCTAAAAGATAAAAATGGCACAAAGGTAACGAAAAATGGTACTTATAGTGTATTAATTTGTAACTTAATGCGGTCAGAGTTGATCCTATAAGGTAAGATAAGAAATTTTTTTCCCAAGCAAATCACCAACTTATATTCGCGCGCAGATGGTTCTTTCGATCAAGCAGGCGACTTTCGACTCGACGGAATAATAATTCGAAGCGTCCAGGGGAACGCAGGCGTCGATGTCGTTGCCAGAAGAACGGATTTGCAGTTGGCAGAGAAGCGAGAGACAACTTCCTGTGAAAGTTTCTCGACCGACCGGCCACCCATCTATCTCTTCTCCATTCGACTACTTCCTTATCTTTGTCTCTTTCCATTCGGCCTTATCGCCTTTGCTGCTTTCGTACGGAAGCTCAAAGAGGGTACGAACGTGCCTGGAAAAATTCCTGGGAAACCAACCATTCCTTCCCAGGACCAAGAGAAAGCCTCTTCGGCTGGCCTACGCTTCCGAAAATGGACATCCTCGAGATAATGCTTTCCTCTTCGATAGACCTCCTTTTGTTCGATCAACTTCCCTTGATTACATGATTGGTTACCTTTCATTCGAGCAACAATCAAATAATTCAATTCACTCTGTTGCTTGTAATCCAATGCTCTTGATGGAATTTTAACTAACCAGATACCTATAGAATCGCCTTTGTCTCGGGTCTCATTCATAGTTGTCAGTGAACACCTTATGAATTCTAATTTATTTATTTCTCTTTCAATTAAAATGTAATAATAATGTAATAATTAAATATAATATCTATGGACCATCTGTGAGTATTTTTTTATCTTCCATTAAGCTCATGATTAAATTACTTTACATTTAATTAATTTGATTCCGAATTAGAATATGTTTCAATGGTTTAAATACGCAATTATCATAACGTGAACTAATATTAGAGACAGTGGAACATAAATTTATCGAACAGCTTATGTATAACGCTTTGAAATTATGTAGGACCATGTAATGAGCGTAATTAGGGATCATAACTAAATACGCTTAATGTGACTTCTTTGATTGGACATAGAGCTATCTGTGATTGATCTTTTCTATTAGAAATTATTAATGACCTTAATTAGTGCTGGGATTATCGATCGCTACCATTAGGAAGCAGATGTATTTGAATAATTGAGAAAAATAATAGCACTGCTATTATACTAATTGAAAGTTTGAAATTTGAAAATGAATGATTATAAGAAGACGATGATTCATATTTGAATATCAATTTAGTAAATTTTATTTTTTAGAAAAGGATCGAGAAACAGTTGGCTAAAATTTTAGTTAAATTTCCTCCATTCGCTCTCGTAATGTATCAAACTATTTTCAAGTCAAAATGAAGTGATTTACGTTCATTCAAAGCTTTGAAATTATCGACGCGAGTTGAATAACTTCGTACACCAGTGGTTTCCATATTTTGCCATTTTAGGTACCCTTTTTGTGCCATTATTTTTTTTTTCAAAATCAGATCGCAGACTTCTTTGATATAGCAATAGAAAAATTTTCGCACAACCATGATGTTGCGAATGAAATTATTATTTAATAACGACGTCGTTTCAATGAATCTATTGAAACGCATCGCGACGCCTTAGGGCGCACAGTTTGGGAACCACTGACGTATATCTTTCTCAGACAGCGATGCGGGTATAGTTCTTTGCAAACGAACCTTATTCACTCGCAAAGAGGAAGAGGATGTCGCAAAAATTAGCTCGATGTTCGTCGAGTATCTTCCGCTTTCGTCGACGAACATTGAAATCAGAAGATCCTTAAATTACTTATTGTTCAAATTCCTTCTAAATATTTGTCTCATCGTCCACTCTCCGATTCTATCACTATTTCCAAAGCATTTTTATTCTTTGAATCGAGTGAAATATTTGACAAGAACGTAGACCTAAACGACATAGAATAATCAAAGTTACCATTTTGCATATATAATCGTGTGGAATTAATTATGAGTTCTGTTTAGTACAGTAAATTCCAGGAGATGAAGAAATAACTTTAATTTCCAACTTGCTACCTTTTGCAACAAACGTTCACCTAATGTAGTTTGCCTGTTAAATGATATGACGATTTAATCGAGAAAGGTCTCAACAGAGATCCTTTATAGAATAAATTATTAGGACCTTTTGTTTTGACATTTTACTGGAAATCGGAAATATCAGTAAAACGGATAAGATAAGAAAAAAGAAACTAAGAATTGAACGAAGCAGTAGGATTTCCTATATTACGAAGATATTGAAAGCAGAGCTTCGAAATGGTTTCTCTTATGGGCCATTTTTGTCGGCCATTGCCTGCTAAAGGAGGTACCTTTTATTACTTCCATTTTCTCTTTCTGATTTTGCTTCCAATTTTCTTTGAAATGTTCTTACGAATTAACGACTCGAGCTTCGCTTTATTTTTCATCAACCTTCCTTTGTGTCTTTGTAATAGATACAGAGAGGACTCTTCTTTTGTTCTTTCAACTTTAACGTTATACTTGAAATAACTTCACGTAATAATGTTCTATAGATATATTCGAAATTCAACGATTTGCGATTTGAAATTAATAAATTTAAACATTACTAGTTGAAAATTTTATTACATTACACCTTGATTCGAGGTTTGTAATGAAACATCGTAGATTAAAAAATTTTAATTAAATTGTTAACCAGGAAAGAGTTACTTCACAAGCGTTTAAGCAGAGTAGCTAAAGCGTCATAAAAATTAATTATCTGTTGGAAGCAGTTTCGGATTACACTTCTCTGTTATAATATTGTTATAATTAAAATTTGTTTCATATTGTTAAATAAAATGAATTTTATAACAGCCACTTTAAAGATTAATGTAACATTTCACACGATTTTTAGCGGATTTATTATTAATCTTTTCATCAATGTTTGTTCTCACCAAAGTCGATATGCAGAGCATCAACCGTGCTTCGGGGTCCCTAACACCCCAAGATGATTTTAAGTTGGTGCGCAGTGAGGCGCCGGGGTCCCCGAAACCCCAAGATCATTTTAAGTTGGTGCGCGGATAGTCGGCGGGGTACCAGAAACCCCAAGATGTATTTAAGTCAATGCGCAGAGTCGCCGGGGTCCCCGAAACCCCAAGATCATTTTAAGTGAATGCGCGGATAGTTGCCGGGGTCCTCGAAACCCCAAGATAATTTTAAATCGATGCACAGAGTCATCGGGGTCCCCGAAACCCCAAGATCATTTTAAGTGGGTGCGCGGATAGTCGCCGGGGTCCTCGAAACCCCAAGATAATTTTAAGTCGGTGCGCAAAGAGTCGACGGGATCCTCGAAACCCCAAGATAATTTTAAGTCGGCGCGCAAAGAGGCGCCGGGGTCCCCGAAACCCCAAGATGGTTTTAAATCTGCGCGCAGAAAGTCGCCGGGGTCCCCGGAACCCCAAGATGATTTTAAATCGGTGCGCAAGGAGAACCGCCGGGGTTCCCGACACCCCACTGATCTTACTCGCTCCTACATCCCCCTTTTAGTCGCCTCTTACGACAGGCAGGGGATACCGTGGCCATATTCTAAGTCCCCCGAGCCACAGGGGGTAAGATAATAATTTGTCGGTGCGCAGAAAGAGACACCGGGGTCTCTGACACCCCAAGATGATATTTTGGCGGTGCGCAGAGAGTCACCGGGGTCCCTGAAACCCCTGATGCCATAAAGTCGGTATGCAAACTCATAACGACGGTAGGTAATACCGACGGTAGGTAATACCGACAAGCGAAATATAAGAACGAAAAACGAACAAATCGTGAAACTTACTTGTTCGGAATAGTGATGGGTTTGAGCGGATCTAGCGAAATATAAGAACGAAAAACGAACAAATCGTGAAACTTACTTGTTCGGAATAGTGATGGGTTTGAGCGGATCTAGTGAAATATAAGAACGAAAAACGAACAAATCGTGAAACTCACTTGTTCGGACTAGTGATGGGTACGACTGGATCTAGCGAAATATAAAACCTAAATAAACGAACAAATCGCAAAATAATAATTACAATATAGTAATGGATATGACCTATAATAATGAAAGATTAGACCTAGAGAGAGTATAACACATTGAAATAAAGAAATATAAGAATATACCTAAACACATTTCTACTTTCCTGTGACCTGGGTATACTTGAACACCTAGAAGAAAATATAGTAGGATACTTACCTGAGTTTGCATACCAACATTATGGCATCCGGGGTGCCAAGGACCCCGGCGACTCTTTTTGCTCACCAACAAAATATCATCTTGGGGTGTCAGGGACCCCGGTGAGTCTCTCTGCGCAGCGACAAAATATCCTCTTGGGGTGCCAGGGACCCCGAAGACTACCTTTACGCATCGACCCAATATCATCTTGGGGTATCAGGAACCCCGGTGTCTGCGCACCGACAAAACATCATCTTGGGGTGTCGGGGACCCCCTAGCTACAATGTACGACCCATAGACTTTTTATAGAAAAATTGAAATCTCTGTAACTTTTGCGGAGGCCTTTGCGCTTTATATATATAAGATATAGAAACAATAAATAATAAATATAATACAAAAACAATATAACAGAGAACTATATAATGAAGAAACAATAATTTTAAGCCAAAATCTTTAAACTATTGCCCTAGCAGTTCCGCCAGTTTGGCATTTTATGAAGCCATCCGGGCTGAAAGTGTTAGAAAGGCATAACGTCACTCAAACGTGGAAAAAATGGTACCAATCAGTAAAGAGGAGTTTAGAAGCGGAAACTTTGGGGCCAGGGCCATATCCATAAACAAATAATTCGTAAAGTGTCAACGTGTTCTACGTAGCATACCGAAATGGCACCATAAAACAGACCACAGCATACGGTCCTGAACTGCACCTGTTACCGTGGTCTGGTACCGAATATGTTAACAAGTTAAACTTCCCCAAGAAATTCTGTCAGGTGTTAAAGTGAAATAATTCCATTATTTTATTTTATATCTAATATGCATTTTATTGTTGGCCAAGTACTTAGCTAACAGAAGTAAACAAGAATCTGTATTCCTTCTCTCGGTTCGAACAAAAGTTCTGCCTAATGTCTTTCTCTCGTTACCTTACATCTCTTTCGAATTTTACCCCTATCATCGATATTATATGTACAAAATCAATGATGATAGATATTACAATGATCACGCATCTCCGACTTACATCACTTCCCATCAAATCTGCGTGCACGTGTACAATATAAATATGCCGCGGTTATACAGGACGATTCAAAATTGTTGTACACAATGAAAAGTACAAGGATACGATTTATCATTTTCCAAACCGTAGCTTCGTTTTTAAGATAAAAACAATTCCAAATTGTATATCGAATCTCTTAGGTAAACGACTACAAAATGATAAAGAATTTTTCGTTTTTGTCTTTTATATGCGTACAACATTTTTGATACACCCGGTATATGTCTATCTCTCCTTTCGTCTTGCTTTTATCCATAATCGTGTTAACAAACGTGTGTGCGCATTAAGTTCTCGACTGATCCATGTATCTTTGTCATAGGTGTGTTAAACTGGACAACTAATTGATTGTTAATCAATCATGTAACATTGAGACAATGAATAATACACCGGTAGTAAGTTTTATTTTATAAATGGCTGGCTGACTTTTCTAAAAGCATAGTACGAAGACCACTTCTATTTCGGTATTGTACTGGCTGTCTCAAAAAAATGTGTACACCATGAAAAGTGCAAGACTTAACGTTCCTTTTCTTCGAGGAACCTTTGCAATTTGGGATTTCATTTTCGAAATATAAAGAAGGATTTAAATTAACACAAAATTTGTTTCAAATTTTTGTTATTAATTTTGAATTGTATAGAGATTCAATTTGAATTGCTACTATCTGCAGCAACTCGATCAGCTGTTGGATCAAAGATCTAAAGATGGCGAAAGAATCAAACAGCTGACTTTTAATTACTTATATATCGAAAACGAAATTTCAAATTGTGAAATCGGAAAGGATTTATCAATTTTATTTATCAAGAATTATCCACGGTTTTCACGGTGTACACCTTTTCTTAAAGACATCCTAGATTTTTCGCTTTGCATTCTGTTCGATCACTCGCACAAGCACACCTTCACACCCTCCTCGTTTTGTGTGTACGCACCCTTTCTTTCTGATCGTCGGGATGGTCTTTTGTCGATCGATTCGATTTTGTCCTACAATTTGCCCAGCTGGCTTCGAATCGACGAGGAAATTCTCTTGGAAACGATCGATGAACGCTCGCTATACTTCTTACAACTCTATCGAAAACGACTTTGAACATCGATCTTGCGACAGATTCATTATTCTTCTTCGTACACGAAAAAATAGAGGGAAAATATACGATGCTCTTACGATTTTATAGTATTTCTCGTTCGACATTTTACATGCTTTCAAACGTACAGGGTGACTCAGAAATCACAAACGGGATGATCTCTCCAGATTCAGTTTACCAATTAAAATAAAATAATTAGTAATCTTACAAACTGTCAGATATAATTTTATTAATATTTAGAATTTAATTTTTAAATTTATTATTCATTCCTAATGACAAATACTAATTTTGGTGAATACAAATGCTTTTAAAAATCAGAAACTGTCGCTGTTCATTAGTGTGTTAAACAATTATCGTTTCGATTCGTTCTTAAACGAGCAAACACTCGACTACGGTTAACGAAGCAGGCGAAGTTCATCGACCCTTCGTGTCGTTTATTTCGATAGAAATGAGGAATTTTCCTGCAAAAGTGTTCCTTTCGTTAACTGTCAATTTCGCTTTCACTCGAAGCGTCGTCGTCAACGAGATAATTTTATCACAGAATTTTCCTTTTTCTTTTTTCAACAATTTGGGCACCACGTGATTCGCTTGGTTCTCAGGAAAATCATTGAAAAATAGGCTAAGCTTTCATACGATCAAGGAAATGAACCGACATTTAAATTTTTGGAAATATTATTTTAGGGGAAATACCGGTGAGTATTTTTCATAAGCATGGACCACGATTGACCCAGCTTCAACTTCGAAAAATTTGAAGATATTGCAAAGTTACTATTCTATTTTACAACTCCGTTCCCTGACAACCGTAAGAAAGCTACCAAAGCCTTTAGAAGTGTTACGAAAAGAGAAAATAATAATACTAAGAAGACAGGTAAATTTTCATCGATTTTGTTGCCAAGTCCCGTAAGAACTATATTTATTGAAAATGTCCCCAACATAAATACGAGAGTCTTATACCGAGTAGAAAAAGAAATCTGCAACTGATTTGCAGATAAAAAAGGAAGAAAAACGAAACAAAATAGATAATACTTATTTACACGATAGCTCAATATGTGTCTTCTTTTTTCAGCACGTTTCATCGAAATCTTCGAATTTCATATGTCATTTCTCCTTTCTTTTTTTGTTCTTTTTAGCTTCATTTTATTTTTACAAATGAAACGTCAACCAAGACTTGCCTTGCATCCACACGCACACACGTCATACAGCATACAAAAAAGTGTCGCATAAGAAAATATAAATGAAATTCAATTGTTGTCTCTTTGCTTATCCTGAAATCTTGTTCTCAGACTTTTGAGTTCAAAAACAGGTCGCTCGTCTACTTAAAAGATTTCTCATTCTCACCGTCTTATCTTCGTACCATTTCTTTTTTTTTTTTTGTAATCTTTTTTCTTTTTCTTTTTTTTTCTTTTTCGTTCGTTCGCACACGCTTGCTCGAACTACTTCGTTAAATCGACTACCCGCGGCTCCGTTATTAAAATATAATATAATTTCGATTCTTTAGAATAAAATATTATCTTCTTTTATTTTGTTCACCTTTCTCTCCCTATCTCTTTCTGTCACCAGTCATCCACGCGTTCGATTATTCACGCAAAATATACAAGTTCGCAAATAATCTCTCGTCCATCCTTACCTTATCACGAATTTTATATTTTCTCATTTTTCCTCTCGCGCGAATGAAAATGGCAATCGAGTATGCAACTTGACGAAAAAGGGATCCTTTGTTTTACGGTAATAGATACACGAGGCATTTATGTTTCAATAAAAGAAAAACAAAGGCTACGAGCAATTATTATAATAGTAATAATGTTAATAATAGTGATGATGATAATGATAGTAGTAGTAATGATACTAATAAATGTAATATTGATAATAGTAGAGTAATAGTTTTGCTCGTATCGTTCCTTAAAAAAAGAGAACCCATCGTCTATCCATTACCTTCATTTGTAAGCTTAAAAACTACCCTTATGTAGCTGCTGGACTAGCTCGAACAGTGTACGCTTATCTTTTATCAATTTTATATACTGTTCACGCTTACAGTTATCCCTTTTGATAAATATACAGGGTGTAAGAAAATGATGCAGGGTCGAACTTCCTTCATTTTATAAGATTTTGCTCGATTTACATAAAGATTAAAAAAAGTGAGAAAGGAAATATGTAACAAATATTTTTATACCTTTGCATCTAGTCAGTATAATTTTTATTATAATAGTTTGATAGTAATGATTCCTTGAAAATTAATTTCTTTACCATTTTCCCATATTTGTTATTTCCAAATTTAATTTTTAACTGACTATGGTGGTCCGTATTACTAAAAGGGTTAAACATTTTTTACACCCTGTATACATCTATCAAAACTGTCTCCGTACATTTAATTGAAACTTGTTTGACATTGTACATTTTCAACGCAGAAAATGACAAATACGTAATATACAAATGAAAATAATTTACATTAATTCATGAATATCGTTTCAATGGGGAATGTTTGGTCATCCGTTAATTTAATTGTTAATATTTTGATGGATTATCCTCGTTCATATCAATAATAAATATTATATTAAATTCATTAGTACGTTATCTGTCGCAAAAATAACGAAGCCGAATTTTCAAAATGAAACTTTAATATCTTATGAATAATATAGCTAATATTGCTCATATAAAATTTTTAATATCGTATACCTACTTTTGAGTAGAAAGTAAATTGGAAGAATAAATAAATGAAGGATGGAAAATAAGTTAACATATAGAGTTATTATTTATTATCGACAAAAGTCGATATATATTTCGACAAAAGCACGTTAATAATTTCCGTAACTTAAAAAAAATCTAATATCCGTCACTTGGAGTTTGATCGTTTCAATCTTAAGAATTTCACAAATTTTGAAACAATCAATTCCTTTACGTCTGAGACAGAAATGATACAATGTTAAAATAAGTTCTAATAAAATGTACGGAGACTACTTTATTTATCGTCCTCAAAGTTGATAAACTTATCGAAAGAAACGTCCTACATACTATTTTTCACCCTTCTTCACCAATGTATGTATACCACCACTCAAAAGTATTAGGAAACTTGATGTTTAAATTTTATTTATTGCCAAATAATCATAATCATGATTCATTTTATTATTTACTTATATTATTAGGTTTATCTAGGCCATAGATCTACGCTCTATGAAAAAGATCATAGATCCTGACGACGTAGATCTACCCCTTTAGACACACAAATTTTATACTTTAGAAATTTGGCAAAATTATTCACAAAATTTTCGGCAACATTAACAGAGGTCCTCGAAATATAATATAGAGGATATTAAAAATTTATAATATTTACCGAGTGTAATTAACATATAGGTTCTAAATCAATCAAGCACTCCAATACTTTCGAATGGCAGAAGAGAAGCTTCGTCGCGAAATGTCGGTGTCTCCTTAGTATTCATCATGCTTATATGTACAATGACGTACGCTCGAATTACTTTTTTTTTTTTGTATTTTTCATTTTTCTGTCGCGAAACGTAGTGTCGACGACGGATCGAGAAAGGTATAAAAAAAAGGGCCAGGGACACTGACACTTATCTCCATCCACCTAATCGCTAATATATTTACAAATCTACAAGCGAATGTGCCTCGTCTACATTGTCTCTATCAGTAGGCTGCACAGAATCGAAGCGTATCAAAACGACACTATTTTTTTTGCGCGATATTAAACATTTTTCAGCGCAGCGTTTCCGAAGAAAATCATTTCCACGCCAAAGGGACGTGGCTCGAGAGAAGAAATTGAACCACTGTGACCGACGAATCTCTCGATTATACTTCCCTCGTTATTTATATTCGTCCTCTTTTAAACCCCGGTCTCGATTTTCTTTGCTTCTTAAATTGAAAAAATACTATGTCATGTACAGATTGTACGCACTGTGCGCGATCGAATCGATCGACCTCAGAGGATAATCTACGTAAAGGCTAGAAATAGAAATAGAAGTAGAAATAGAATTCTATGGTTATCGACGAGGGTGTCTAAGACATGCCTCTCGTCGATCACGTACACTTACGAATCTTCTATTTACACGACGACGACAATCGTTCGCGTCATAATAATAAGTACTCCGTTTTGTTCTGTTTCTTTTTTTGTCTTTTTTTTTTTTTTCATTTTTCTTTTTTCTTCCTTCGTCTCTTTCAAAGAGTTATCGCCGAGATGAAAATCTACCGAGAAGAACGCATGGCTATTTATTGTATTTGCAGTTTGTACTAAAATCGTGCCTCGTCTCGCGATAAGACGGAAACAGGGCTGAGAAACACTCGTCGTGATCTCGACTCGATAATGAGTATACGTGTAGTCGGCGGAAAAGTCGAGCGGTGATTGTACATACATCCGTCTACGATTGATTCGTCGATTAATTACTTTCGATGAAACCGAAAGTGGGCCGGCTTTCTTCTCGCTGACGAACTTACAGCGGAGAAATAGTAAAATGATCGGGTAGAAAAATGTCTTAATCCGAAACAGCATTCGCGAATATCAACACTTGGAAACAGTAACGAGCGCGTAGCAAACAAAAAAGATCGTGTAGCACCTTGTCTCGTATCACCAGCGACCGTGTCGTCGTTAAACTTATAAAGAGAGAAAAGGAAACGTAAAGAGACACTCTGTTAACACTCTGACGGCTATCAGTCAATTATCCTACTAATTACAATTTCTCAATTTACCGCTGTAGATTGGAGAGAATCTCGAAGAGTGTGAACAGGGTTGATCTGTACCCTCCTAATTCGGATACGGTTTCCACGAAACAAAATTCTATCTGAATGAAAACAGAACGATCGATTAAATATCCTACGAGTAAGATTTATTAGTCGTTTAGAAATCGGGCTCGATATAAGGCAAGATGTTAAATAGAAAAAGGAGGCAGCTGAAAAAGTTGCTGAGAGTTTGAGAAGGAATGAAACGTGAGGCCGTCAAAGCGTCGATCTAAGTACGTTTCAAGAGTATTTCGAAAGATTAGCTAAAAGCTCGAGGACTGTGTCAAAGAACAGGCCATTTACTTCGATTTGATGAAAATACAAGGTACGCGGGGAAATATCTCAACCATATCTTCAATGTGTATGCATGTGTGTTTGGGTTTTTTCGCGATTAGACAACAATATTTAACACCGGTCTAACGATTAACGATCAGATTGTAATCTGATTTACGCTTACAGATTATACACGCTTAACGGTTTATGTACAGTTTACGGAATACTACTTCTCAATATGTACAATCAATAAAACTTCTTTCTTTTTTTTATTGGCGTCTTCGTAATGCCACTCGGAATACATATTGCATCTCTCCTGTGTATATAATATTAATGTATTTGTTCCTTTATTTAGTCGTCGATTTTTATTCGACGATAAATGAGCTTCGGAAAGAAAGAGAACCGTCGTTCGATCGCTCTTTCGTTATACAAGGGCACAAGCCTTGAAATAATCCTTGCGAATCCTCGAATTCGCAAAACAAAAATGAAACAACGTGTCATTGCACATGTCTTGGGAAAAGTTCATATGTACTGGCTTGACCGAAGCGAAAATACGGTGCAACGATCGTTCAACAACTGTGCTCGATTAAGGAGAAAACTCAACGACGACTGTAACAATTATAATAACCACCGAGGAAACTGAAAGAAACGTGTGTTGCTCAGTGCCGATAACAAATAACGCTTGTGTCTTGCGACGCTGAACCCCGAACGTCCTCTGAGAAAGCATAAGATCGTATTAAAAAGTACGATCCGAATTGTCTTTGATCCACGAATGTTCAGTTCGCTTTTGAATATCATTCAGCTCGCTGGATTTTCAGTCCGCCCCTTCGATCCACACTTTCCACCTGGCGTACGTCAAAACCTAACGGTACGACCACGGCGTTTAGTTAATTTCGCAGTAATTTCTTGGCTGACGACAATTAAGTAACACCTGTTAACTTAATCGTCAGCTTAAGCTGTTCTCAAACAACCCCTGGTTGCATAGTCAACAAGTACGTGGTTGGGTCGTAGTAGCCAGCCAAATAGTAAATATCGTTGTTGTCGTAGATGGTCAGGTATCTGTGCGGCTCTTTGCCCAGCTTCTCTGTGTACTCTTGAAGGGGTAGCACCTCGCATTTGTGAGAAATTGTTTGCACGTCGTTCTCATCCATGTGCGGTGACTCGAACAGAGCACCCTGGAGACATTCGTACAAAAATATTTCATATTAATACATTTTTTTATTTCTATTCTATGGCCGTAGAAGACATAGCCTGTTGGATCGTTCGTAAAAAATCTACTGGAAATTGAAATTCTTACCGGATACTTCAGGTTCGTCGGGCACCCAACAGTTTCTTCAGGATGATAGAACCATTTGACTTTAACGATCATGTTGGAATTGGAAGTTTCCCACATGGATTCGATGCGTCCAATGTAAGGACGATCCGGTCGGCCAGTGGATAAAAAGACAGCACTGTCGCCGATTTGGATCGTTTCGCTTCCGCGCTGGATAGCTCGGAAGAATTGCTTCTTGGCTCTACCCTTAGCACCGGGTCGTCTGTAACCTTTCCCAGCCCAACCCCATAATTGTCTGGCTGGAAGGAACGCGGCCATCTTACTACGACTTTCCACAGACTCTTGTCGCTCGCGCATTTTTGACTTCTTGTCTGATTTCTTCGGTTTCTCAGGCTTCTCCTCGCGAACCGGTTCTTTCACCGGTTCCGGGATTATTTCTTCCTCTCTGATCGGTTCCTCCTCGACTTCCTCTTCCACCTTGGGCACTGTCTCCTTCGCCACTTCCTCCTCGCTTTTTTGACCGCAACAGCTCTCCCCGCTGCTGAAAAATGGAAAGAAAATATTGTCAGTATTAAAGTCGAGAAACACGTTTTTCAGTTCCACTCGATTAAATATCTACAGGACCGTTTAATTATGGAACAAACCTGATGTGACTTCCATCACTGTGACTACTGTGATGGCTGTGCTTATGTTTATGCTTCCTGTGTTTCCTGTGCTTATGTTTCCTGTGTTCCTCGCAACACTTGTGCCTCCTGTGCTTCTTTTTTCCTTCCTGAGCCTCCTGCAACCTCTTCAACTTGTCTTTTCTTCTCTTCTTCATACGTTTCCTCTCGCGATACTCCTCTAGCTCCTTGCTGTCCATCTCCTCAGACTTGTGCCGTTCCAACGGCTGTGCATCGGACGAAGTAACGTAACAATTCGTCGTGGACGTAACAGCAGTTACCGCGGTGTTTGTATTCGACGGAACACCCGACTGACTATTCGACGAACGTTTGTCTTCCGTCGAGACTGACGTTTGCCGGCGGCGTTTGCCCAGCGACAACAACGGATTCGGATCGTACTCTGTACAATTTCAAGTACAATTAATACAATTAACTCAAAGCGTTAATTATTTCGTTATTTGTGCTTCAGAAAAACAAGGAAACTTACCAACGACAGGGTAATCAGGTTGTAACAACCTGATATCATCCAAAGCGATTCTTCCACTGTCCCCATCGTCGAATTCAACGCTGACAAATTTCTCGTCAAGTTCTGGATCTGGTTCTGAAGGTTCAACAGAGGTACCTGGATACAAGCATCGATATTGTTGGCTCCAATATGCGCACAGTCTGGTACCAGGCGGTAATTCCTTCGTCGAGCTTGGACAAACTTCTACTATCTGTGGAAATGAAAATTACAAGTCAGAAACCTCTCTCTCTCTCTTTTCTTCTTCGATAACACGTATTTATTTAAATACTCTGTAAGACGAATTTATGACTTAAGACTGGACAATTTTTGGATGAATCTGTTAGTTACGACAACACGGTTTAACGACGTCCGAATAATTTTGCAACGTATCGTGTAAATCAACATTAATTTACCGCATCTCGTAGGATCTCCTCTCTGGAATGGATGTGAGGTCTGTTGCCACGTTCCCCGTCCAATGTGATGGCATAAACGTCAGGCGCTTGGACGGCACTGAGCCTTCCGGCGTAAAATAGACCGCCCATCGCAGTCAAGACCCTCAGCTGGTCAATGGCCAAGTGTGCCGACGTTAATTTGCATCTGTTCACGATTTCCGTCTTCTCGGCCCTAGCCGCTTTAGCGCACTCTTGGCACTCAAGCGATTTCCTACGCTTCGACTCCTTCTTCTCCCGATCGCTCGACTTGTGCCTAGACGGTGACGACGAGCTGGACTTCCGTTTCTTCTTCTTCGATTTCTCGTGCCTGATCTTCTCCGGTTCCGTCTCAACGCTCTCCGGTGTGTCCACGGGAATCTCCTAATTGATCGAGAAACGCTTAATTAAAATGGCTTTTAGTTAGATCAAGAGACACTATGTTGATGATCCTTGGGACTGGTTTGTAGGAATATTATTAGATTGTTGCATATTAAATGAAGATTTCTGAGCCATAGCAAGTTTCAGATGTGTTAGTACTTTTGAGGGGTCACTGACGACTGACGCCTCGAATAGAATGTATGAGAATAATTAGGAAAAGTAGCGTAATAATAGAAGAAGATTCTTTGAAATGGCAACAGCAGTCCCTTCGATACAACGCTCAGGAGATACAATCTACTCGTACGAAATGACGATGCACTGTATAAGTTGTCATAATACCGAGATCAAAATTAGTACCGAGGAAGATTAGCACTAATTACCTGTACAGGTTCCTGTACGGTAAATTCTGGTATCGGAGTTTCGGCAACACTGTTCGATTCATCGTCCTCCCAGGTTTTCACCTTTGCCTCCGCCTTCAGCTTCGGCTTCATCTTACTCTGTTTCTCCAACTTCACCTCTTGGCTCAACTTCGCTTTTTCCGCGATGATCGAACTGATCACGTTCTTATTATGCAACGGCGTCTGTTTGGCGGGTTTGGGCTTTGATTTCGCGGATTTGTGACTCTTGGAGGAAGATCTCATGGAGGATAGCCCGGACTTGAAGGGCAGCGGAGTATACCCAGTTTTACCCACGTACTATTTACAAACATAGCATTACAATTAATAATAATGTTACATGGTAAATGTACCGTAAAGGTAATCGTTGTATTTCTTTACGTAAACTGATTTCTTTTTTCACGGTATCGGGGTACAATGTTAGAAAAATCAACAATTCGTAATCAACTCCCTCGCTGTATCTCAAAAGTGAATGAATTTTAGAATTGTTTGGCCACGATGGGATTCTTGGGATACTTTGTATCTGACGGAAATTGGCAGCAAAAGTTCATGGAAATTCATTAATATTTATTTAGAATTAAAAAGTAGACAAACCCTTCGACCCAAATTTATAAGGGTTGCTCTCGTCTCTTCGGTACAGACGATTGCCAATGAAAAATGACTATGCGTGGAATATTTTTGCCGAGTTACAAATTATACGAAAATTGGATAAAAATTAAGGGTGTGTTAATTGGACGATGGCCCGTTGTTAGTAAAATTACTCACTTTCGCCTGAAGGTGTCTATTTTTCGACGACAACAAATAGCCAACGAGAGAACTTTTGCTTTTAGGTTTCTTCGCGACTATCGTTTCCGTCAGATGTCTGACACTTCCTGACGTACACATCAACTTCCTGGGTCGACCGACCTTCCGTTTCTTCGAAGCGGAACTTGAACTTGCAACCGTAGGTGCTGGTGACGATGTGTCGTATCCCATCTATGAACATTCCAATATGATCTATGAAGATTTTTATTTAACCCTTTTCCTGCTATACTGGAGTACCAGGAACCCCGATCAAATTTTCAAGATTCGCTACTGTTCAGGGACGAACGCGGAAGCCTCGTTTCAATGAGACGAAATATACTTTTAAATCTTCCTCTGCCTAATTCGAAATTTGTTTAAGGCATAATGTTAAAAAAATCTATACTTCGTGAGATATTTTAAGTTTGAAAGAGAGAGATACCTCGTAAGTGAAATTTGAAATATCTTACGAATTGTTGATTTTTTTGACATTGACTACCGCGATATATTGTTGCAAGAGTCGAAGCCTCCAGGTATGCCACGTTGTATCCATTTCTGTAAGTGGTTCATTCTTTTAACTTGGGACAGATTTGGAATTCTGGAAGAGAATCTTATTTTTTGGAAAGAAAGAACTGATCCTGATTTTCTTTCTGGTTCTCTCGATTGTGTCTTGGCTGGCACAGTTTTTAATTAAATTCAAGGATCGGAATATTAAACTCACCCCTCCAGAACTCTTTTCATCGTCGTCCTGCGACGCTTTGCTCGATGGTAAGACGGTGATAGGCGAAGCCACCGGTGGAACTGGGATTGGAATGCTCGGTATACTGTCCAATAGTTTAATATGACTTCTCGGTTCACCCAGTTTCACCAAGTTCACGTTACACCTTGGCATAGCCAGTACAGCCGAGGTCAATGGCGGTGAAGTTCCATCCGGAGACTGCACTGGAGATTTGTGCGGAGAAGACATTGCCTCCAACATTGGCGGTGATGCGAGAGGCCCGTGATCAGAGCTGCAAATATTTTTCAATAAATATTCATTTTTCCTTGAATGTTTTCTTCAACAAATTCACAGCGGATGATATACAATAGCGGATACCGACGTACAATTACCGAATCTTAATACAATGGAGAACTTGTGTAAGATTGTTAAACGGAATATGTGGAATTATAAAATAAATGATACATTAATACGAATGCATAAGAATTTAATTTTGCGCTATAAATGCGAATACCAAAGACACGACGTGATTTTAAGCATGTCTCTAAAGTGTGAGCTGTAGTGCGAATCAACCTTAACACATTGACTGTCGCGGTGATAATGATCTTTATAAAATATATTAATTTTCAAAATTCAAGCTAGTAGACTTTCAAAGTAAAATGTAAATTTTCAAGTTTTTAAAAATTGGAAGAATTAGACTTTCTATTTAGATCCCTGCAACATTCAATGCATCAAGTATCCCTATGGTATAATTTTAATAAAACAGCGACTTGTCAGGACTCGTATTTACTCACCTCCACCATTACCAGCAACCCAAGCCGATGGTATAAAAATATTGAAAATTTACCTCGAAGAATGGCTTTTCTTCCTAGGTCTACCAGGACTCTTCTTCTCGTCCTTTTTCGGCGTCAGTTTAGATAGTTCTCTCTGTTTCTCCCTGTATTGCCTCTGAATATCAGCCAACCGCACTCTCATATCCAGTTCCATGGCGTCCATGTTCGGCCAGTCTGCATCGTCATCGATGTGCCCTTTTCTAGCGATGAATTTCTTCGCGACCAATTTAGCCTGCAGATTGCTATAATCGTGGCAGTCGCGATGATCACCAACGGAAAGTCTTCTCTCTATACCTTCGTGACCTTCCTCGGTCATCTCAGACATTTTCTCGCAATACATATCAGCATCAGAATAGTCGTTATCGTCCATGGATTCTTTTTCACTATACGCGCCATTGTTCGTTGGATATTGTTGAAAACCTTCCGTTTTCTCGTAATCTGAGTTCTTGTAAGGATCGTTGTTCGCCACATCAGCGTTGTTCAATAATAGAACTGGATCACCTTCCACCCTGTATCGTTCGCAGAATTCCAAGCCCCTTCTTGTCTTCTCCTTCATCCTAAACACCGCAACCTTATCATTGTCAGCCTTTCGATAAGATTCTTCCTCCTCGAATTCGTTCGTCTTGAACTTCTTCGCGCCTTCGTAATCCTCCTCCCCGGCGTATTTTCTCTTCTCAGACATCTTTTCCTGCCTCTCCGGCATCGCAGCCCTGCCCAAGTTCAGCAACAACCTTCCAGCATGAGATATTTCCTCGGAACTGTCCAGATTCAACTTCCGCGGAACCTTGTCGCCCACTTCTTCCATGAACCTTTGCTCAGCTAAGGCACACAGCAGACCTAACGGGCTGTCCACGTTGTTATTGTTCCGTTCCGTCTGTGGAGACATCAGTTTACTCTTGACAGGTGATTTCTCCAGTTCAGCCGGAACCGTGACCTGAACTTCCGGCTTCAACTGCTCCAGTTGCTCGATGCTGTTCGACAACAGCTCCAGACCGCTTATGTCAACCGTAGGCTTCTGTTTGGAACCGATAATGACCCTGGGTTTAATGCTTTGATTATCCACGGTTGGAACGTTCGTATCCTTCGTTACTTCCATTTTTCTGAACTTTTTAGGCGTGACGCTGTTTGTACAGTTCATCTGGGACACCTCGTAGGTATCCGGAGACGTCTTCTCTTCCTTGACGATAAGAGGCTGTTTTTCTTCCGCTCCTTTCACGTTATTGTTGCCGTTTCTGGCGTCGTTATTGTTGTTTAGATAACAGTCTCTAGGATAATTCAACAGTGAATCGAAAGGCTCGGTCGTGGCTGGACATTTGCGGACATCCTGCGACTTCTGAGATGACTCTGGTTCTTTGGACGATTCCTGCTTCTCGGCTAATTGGGCATTCTCGCAGAACCTCAGCAGATGCTTCTTCAAGCCGTTCTCCAGCTTCCTTGGTATTACCTCCGGTTGCCTTCTCACGTTCTTCTCTTTAGAATCGTCCACTTTTGGCGCCGACTCCTGCAGCGCAGCGACCGCGTTCTTCTTCAGCTTCTCCACCACGTTCTCGATACCAGGATGAGACTTCTCGGCCATGTGCTTCTTCGACGATTCCAGACACCTCGGCCTCTCGGCCATCGACGTAGCCTCGCATCTATACGAACAATCCTCGAACGCACCATCATCGGCTTCCTGTTTAATCACCACTTGTTCCACCTGCTCATCGCAGTCGATGCTCGGCATGTCGAACGATTTCACTGTGATCTGTGGACGCGGCAACGGTTCAGGATCAGCGTTGCAATTGACCCCGATTTTCGATTCATTGCACACTTTTGTCTGCGCTTTAACGTTCCTTTCAAGGTCCTCTGTCGCGGTGGCTACTTGCCTATGATTATCCGTCATTTTCGCGACATCCTCGGCCTGAAAAAATGGTTTTCTTCTTCTTATTATTATCCTTTTGATTGAATTTACGATTTGTGCACTAGTGCATATTATCAACTGTTGATTCTTTCTTTGGAGTCGTCGTGTGATAATTGGTTTTGAATTAGTCGTTTGGTAGATTAATTAGAATTGTTTGCTTGCAAGCTCGTTTCTGGAGGAACTAGCACAATTTTACTTCTCTCCCACGTGTGGTATATTCAAGTCTTTTGTTAATATCTTCATTTTTTTTTCTTTTTTTTTTTTATTTTAAATTTTCATTGCATATGTTTTACTCTTTTTTTTACGTAGCTGTTGAAAATACCTAATGTAAAAACACGTACACCATCGGCCATAAGTATTTGGACACTTGCAACTACCATGAAATGTATGAACTGTCGAATGATTATACTTCTACTGTTATATTTTATTATGCACACCTTTTAGTTTTGATATATTTTTATGTAAATATGTAGATGAATTAATAATTTAATTGTAAATGCAGACCAAATATATTTCAGACCTTTTAAACGTTTCGAATATACGACTTTTGGAATGTAGCAAGGACTGTAAGACCTTTATCTCAAATTTTTATATATGTTAAGCTTATCTAACAAGAAAGGGTCACGAACGGTCCTATTTGGATGAAGCTTTATAGGCTTGTAGAACAGCCAAAAGTAACGCGTACATATTTCTTTATCTGCAATAACTCAAGTTTAAAGGGGTATCCCTATTTGAATGATCATTTTTGAGGATTTATTTAACATTGATGTATTTGACATTATGTATTTATAGTCAGACATATTTAAAGTAATAACCAGAATTTTTATGAGTATTTTTATTGAAATTTATAGAGACATCGACTAGAATGTTAAAAACAGCAAACTTTACGTTTTCAATTTCAATGATTATTATTATTATTAGACAGAGATAATTATAAGGAGTTAAACTATACAACAGTATGATTTTGAATTCTTCTTTAATAAATCTATAATTTGATTTTAAATTAATCTCAAACTCTACAGGTATCCAAACACTAATGGCCAGTGGTGTATTAAAGCTGAAGCATTGTGACTCTTCTTTTCTTTTCCTCTTTACTGTAAAATTCGCACTTTTCTCTCACCGATAAACATAACAAGTTTTAATTGTTACATTCTCTTTTACTTTTTTAGACAGTTTAAATACACAATAGTCTATTTCTGTAAGAAATGAAAAATTGATACGTTGATACTTTGAAATAAATTGACTCTCTTGAAATAAACAAAACTCTGGGGCAACAATTTTTAACAGTAGCTATTTAAACCATAGTTACTATTTGTTGAAAATATAATGGGAGAGTATGCGATGAAATGTTTGTAACCAGCTGAAAATATAAAACTACGAAGTTAAATTATGCAATTGGAATAAGTTCTAACTTCTGTTTCGTTAAAAATATAATCATCATACTATTAACAGATGTTAGAGCTCATTCTAAGAGTATAAACATTTAACTGCACCAATTTATACAAATTCAAACACTTAAATAAGGCTTAGGGAAACCTTATTTGGCAAAAGAAGAAAAAAAATATCGATCACTTTACCTTGACACGATAATAATTAATATACGCATATATGAAACGAAAGCTGAAGGAGAAAGAAAATATATTCACCAGATGCTTACCTCGTAATTCTCCTTAGGATCAGTCTCTCTATCCCGTTCTCTCTCGGCGAACTCTGCAGCATAGTACCTCTTCCTGTCCTTCTGTCGATCCACGGAATGATCCCTGAAAGGATCTCTCCTTCTTCCAAAGAACTCTAAATTCTCATGAAAACTGTCACAATTTTCCTCGGTAATTTCGATGATCCTTGGCCCGCTCTTCAAGTCTCTACGCGACATTCTATCCTCCACGATCGCCTCGTCGTCTTCTTCATCGACGCGAGTCTTGTCGTCGTATTCCCTATCAATCTGTCTGGAGACCACGTGCTCGATCGTTCTATCAATGGAGGTGACGCTTCGGCACTCCTTCGTGATCGCGTATTTGGGACAGTCGGCCATATTGATGACCGTGTTCTCAGCTTTGTCGACCTTGCCGACAATGCTACAGACCGCCGGGTTCACCGTGGTCGTGGTCGTGGTTATTCGTACGACATTGCATACCTTCTCCGGCGAGGCAGCGACGATCTCGAAGTTTGTTAGATTCGTCAGATTGGTGGTGGTCGTTGTCAGATTACCGGAACCCTGTAGCTGACAGGTGCTCAGATTTTGCTCCTGTTTCACGCAGGCTTCCGCTACCGTTCCGACTTCTTGGTCCTCCGGCTCGGGCGCGTCAGTCTGGTTCGATGCGTCCTGTACGCCCACCATTGGCGCCACTTCCGGTGGCTCGATCGCGTGGATGGTCGTCACTTCGGGCGGCGGCGTCAGACAGGACACGGGAGACGTCGCCTTTAATAAGAACGAATTTCGCTGCTGCAACGCAGGATATTCGAGGATCAGGTGTCGTGGCGTGACCAAAGCTACGGCAGTTTCGACGAAGTTGGACCGTACAGATTTTCTTTTGTTTTTTGTTTCCTTATAAACAGTTCTATACCAAAAATTTTGAACACTTTACGAATTTTCATTTTAACCGACAGTGAACATAATTACTTTCTCCAACTTGATTGAAATCTGCCGTAATGCAAGCAACAATTAATTTCTATGTCTTCTGCAAAGCTTCAAGCATAAAGAATGTATTTTATTCCAAGGACAATGATAAAATTACACGATTTTTGTAAAGAAAAATAGAAAATAAAAATTCTAGGTAAACTTCAACATTTTCAACGTCAAACAGGAATCACGGGTTCAACAATGAGCCGGTCAGCAATATCTATGCAGATGGCGATGCAAATGGGTTTGCGCATGATTAATACACAATATGCGATTATGCGAACGGTTAGAATGCGGCCAGGGCTTGGAATAATTAGTCTGAGTTTGCTCTTCCATTCTGTCACTAGGGACTGTTTGACAGGAGGGAAGGGAAAAGCTGGAAGAATGAACTTACCTGTGATCTACAGTGTGTCGGTTCGGCCTGGCTGATTTGAACCAATGCTGGCGTATGGGGGTAATAGTGCAACGTCGTTACCAAGGGTGTATCCGGAACCAGGGTGCCGGTCATCGAAGTCACGGTCTGCAACGCCTTCGTTGATTCTGTCGATGCTATTGGAATTTAGAATTTCAATATTATCTAAAGAATCATTTTTCTTCTTCTCCTTCTTCTCTGTTAATATAAGAGCTAGGCCTAAAGTCCCTTTTATGTATTTCAAAAATTCCATGACATTAACTCTATCCTTTACCTCCACCTTATATAACATTATTTAATTACAAAGATCAATTAGATGATACTCACTGATTATTGTGGTAGGACTGGCACCACAATCTGCCTCTATCTTCACGATAGGTAGAGTACTCTGCTGCTTCCTTTTACTTTCGGTAAGGACCAACCTTGCTCCACCGATGTCGCTCAACAGTTGAAGAGACGGCGGGGGTGGTGGGAGTAGAAGGGGTGGCGGTGCAACGTTCCCATTGTTATGATTCGAATAATTTGGCCACACTACAGCTTGTTGCATTTGCTCTGTCGACGAAGCATTGTAAATATTGTTTGAGATTTCGTTGCGTATTAACATAGTTGTTATTCAAGTAGCCGGCTTCTTTTTTGTAAGACGGTTTTCAATAAAGGAAGCTGTACCTGCAGCGTGGATGAGAAGAAGGTGACCCGTCGTTGGATCTCTGACCAATTGCAAACCACCTTGAAGCCCGACACCCATTTGTGGAAAACCAACTGGTTCCATCGGCATTGCTGCAACACGGTTTAATTAATCATGAAATTAAGTTGGAATGGACTTTTTTATTAACCTGCTGTAATTAAATGCCACCTTGTTGATAGTGAATCTAATTAAGCGTTAAGATTACGGTGCTTTCGATAATTTGAAATCTATCTCTCGAATACGTCGATTTTTTACAACTTAATAAAATGATTTTCTTTCAAAAGCAGAAGAGAAATATTATTTTTTATTTGCAAATTTTTATCTTTTTTCATACTTCGTAATCGTTATCGTTCCAGATTAAAACCTGCGTTTTTTTTATCAGATCTGGAACACGGGAAAGGATTTTCATGCTGACGTCTTTTCAATTGCGATCAAAAAAATTGACAGACGGTCAAAATAAACGTAGGAAAAGAACTGAATGCAGAAACTCGGTGGAAAGCAGAGCAAGTTAAAATCTCGCAAAAAAAAAAAAAAAAAAAAAATGAAACGAATTTACCCCAGATCCGTTTTGAATATCTTCAAAACGTTTTGAAACGAATATAAAAGCTGCAAATCTACGCAAATATTTTTTCCTATTTAGTATAATTAACGAAATATATTAAAAATTATGCCCTGCTCGAAGAACATTGAAAGCGGCTGAAAATAAAATATTTAAAGATCAATATAGTTGAAATATAAGCATGCCTTCAGATTTTACAAGTGCAGTATTTTTTTTATGGGATCACATAAAACAAGAAGTGATAGCCAGTGCGTCATCTATAAAAAAAGATATAAAAACACGAGCTTCACATGCCTCTATAATACTTCAACTGTTATGTTCCAAAAGAATATCCAAACGCCTTCTTCAACATTTATTAAAATAATTTCAATATTTACGAAGGACGTAAGCTGAAAGAGCAACCGATGATAGAAAAATAATTTCGGTCAATTTTTGACACAAATACCCCACGGTTGGAAGGGGGAAAAAAGAAGAGGGCGGAAGAGAAATAGAGAACGAAGTCTCACCTGCAGCTGCAGCTGCAGCAGCCGCGGCTGCCGCGGGGTACTGCCATAAGGTTGGCGGCCATGCGGCTGTGGCCGCAGCCGTGGCAGCGGTGGCGGCGCTCGCCGCGGCACCGATGCTGCCCAGCGTGGAATTCAGGCTGGAATTCAAGCTGGAATTCAGGCTGGAGCCAAGAGCAGCGTTCAACGAGGGCGCCAGGGCTCCCGAGGGAATGGCGAGGTGGGCCGATCGCTCCTCCCCTCCAGCTCCTCCGCAATGCACCAGGGTCGCACCGCCTACTGCCATGGCTGTGCTCGTACCTAATAACAAGGCCCAATGATATGCATTTTCTGCTTCTCTTTAACAAGAACTTGTAATCGCTTCTAGAATACAGTAAAATCTGCTTATACGCTCGAGAATCGTCCTAACCGAAAATTACAGACGAATGTGCGACAATAGATATGATAAAGAATTTTGGATGGGTAATGATTAGATGATGGCTTCCTTTCTCAAACTCTCAAAACCCTCTTAACAGTTAAAATTGTATAGTGTGCATCTATGCAAATTGCCTACGGTTAATTGAATAATAAAATAGGGATTGTGATTAACACTGAGGTACGTTCTACTCTAAGGACCCAAAGGCGGGAAGTTATCGAGCGATGACTTAGAGGAGTAGATAAGTAATGGGAGCCTTTTCAAATGGGCGATTAATGAGAGTATTAATCATAATGTATTGCATTAAATGAAATTACTTCGGTTTAGCAAATATTACTATATGCATAGATTCACCCGGTACCATTTTTACTGCGAGCGACTGTAGCTTCCCAAACGGTACCATCTCGCGAACGTATAACAAGTTCTTACTGTACCTCCGATTTCGAATTTTACCCAATAACAGTGTCAAAATAGTCCCTTATTACGTCTTAAGAGGTTGGAATGAATTTTGTAAGCCAAGGATCTATGTGTTGATGCAGTACACCAAAGTTGAATGGATGAAGTCTGCTTTAGATACTTTGACTATAAGGTTCAAGACGATATAGTGACACGTTTGGACTATTTTAACTAAGAACAATAAAATCAAAAAATGAACGATTCTATTGAATCCGCCATTTTATTAGAGAGAAAAACTTAATAATGATAGATAATCATTAGAAAAGGCGGTATTTCTTTTCGACGAATGATCGATAAGAAAAATGAACGTACCTGGCAAATAGCTCGTTCGCGTTGCATTGCAAGGATTAACTGAAATCTCAAAATCAAGCTTTAAACAAATGGCCAGAGCATAAATAGCTCACTAGCGGAGCCAGGTTAACTTTGATCGAAACGATCGTACGTTCCAATTACGATTCATTATTATTTTATGGAATAATTGGCGAAACTGCATCACGTGTCTATTGAAAATTTACACACATTTACTATTTAACAATACATTACTTTAATTCTGCAAACTATGAGCTCAACGATTTGCAATTCTCATTTAATTTCTGTAACGTAATATGAATTAAAATTTAATGCAATACAATATTTGTGTACGCGTTCGGAGATGTTACTAAAATATTTTATAAATCTTTATTATTATTGAGCAAATTTTATTCTATAGTTTTTTCTTATCTTTTTTCTTTTTTTATGCGCGAGGAAATGATATTTCCGAGAGAAGAAAACATAGAATTTTTCCTAAGAGCTAATATGTAGTATGTTTACTGCTGTCAAGCTTATTCTCATCTCTATACAAGTTGCCATTTTATCTGGCTCGTAACAATGGAGTAGTGTACCAAGTATACTATTTCAGCATTGTACTAGAGGGAATAAGTGACGGCTACGACGAAGATTCCTGTCTTCCTGTCAAATACACCGGTCCTCATCCTCAACTATCTTTGTCTACCTTTAGGGTACGTATACGAATTACAGAAACAGCGATATCCGCAATTAATTCGAATAATTAACAAAAGTACCATACAGTACTGTACAAATATACACTGAAATTTTATTAAAAAGAAAAACTAATAACTTCGGATCTCCGTTTCTACCTTGCCTATATTATCTTCTTCGAAGGAAAATATTTCTAGTTCGTGGAAGAGGATATCGTCGCGATTTTCAGTGAAAAATTATTCGCGTTCAAAGCATTCACCCATCGTCCGTTTCCTATTTCACGAGTCAGTCGCGCGAAAAACTATCGATATTCCACAGGTAGCGATTGAATATCGTCTGATAGAGAAGAAAAACAATCAAGAGAGAAACACCAGAAGCTCGATAATTACAAGAGAGCAGGTCCGATCAGGGAGAAAGACGAAACGAGAAGAGAATCTGAGAGGAAACACTGGTGGTTCAAGTCATCCGTATTCGTTATACAGTGTGTTGCATGTTTCTCGATAGATTCATAAAATGCATACGACGATCCATTGAATCTCCATCTTTAACCCTTTACATTGGTAACGATATGAATCCTGTATATTCAATAACTTTTGAAAAACACAGTAAAAGAAGACATGTATCTCTTCGGCGGACCATGAAGAGAAACCTAATCTTTATCGAACAGTCACCTGTTTCATAGGCGACGATAACAGATGACAAATTATTTTGTTAAGGAGTAACAGAGCCAGCGAAATATCCTTAATATAATTAAAAATAAAATTACTTCCTGATGAGACTTCCGACGACTTTAGCCATATCAGTGTTTGTAATAACGTTGAAAATTACCGAAAGGAAGAGGCTCATTCTAAAAAACATTAATTAATTTATCAAGTCAAGAGTTCTTATCGGCACCTTCCTCTTTTAAGCTACCGAAGCTTCCTTTTTACACGTTTATCGCGGCTTCCTCGCCGTTATGAACAGCACCTTGTACATTATCTGTTCCACGCATATGCGTGCACCAGTTATCTTCTCGAATCATGCACCTGCTGTAAAAATGGAAGCTCTTCGCCTAAGTTTTACGGTACAACGCGCGAATCCTTCACGCAAGTACGTGTCTGTATAAAAAAAATTAGATAATACACCCTGACAGATTCGAATTTAACCCGATTGTCAAACGAAAATACAAAAATTTGATGTTATCAAACTTTACAAATTATTATGTACCGTGAATGAAATTATCGGTAAAATTAGTGGAAGAAAGACAGGAAGAGACGAGAGGAATTTAGTCGGAACGTTTCGATCGCGACGAATGGAAGGATGATCGGTTTCGTACCCTCGTACGACGGAAGAGGAATTTCTGAAGAACGCTGCCAGCCCTTCACCGACCCTCGTTAATATTCCGTCCAGATGTTTCAGATCGCTTTAAGAATGTCGATGACTGCGCCATGGGTTCAAACAACCGTATATTTGATAACATAACCACGTAAAAATACGCCACACGAATCCGAGTTGCATAATACTTGGAAAAAACTATGGTAATCCTCCGACCGTACATTTTTCTCAATGAAAGTTGGGTACGAATATAAAATAATATAATGGATAATTATACACCTACACAAATGTGAAAGACGTCATTTTAACGGGCTTAGTAGTTCTAATGTTAATTAACTATTTTATAATTTGAATATAGCAAAGAAAAACGCTTTTCCTGTTTAACTTCGAAGCAAAGTGGGAGGAAAGTGAGCGGAAGTAAATATAATACAAGAGTAGTTATCCTCTAATTATTGTAATGAAATTGCCTAGTTGATCCAATGTCAAATGCTTTCTATGAATTTCAAATGATCGATCGGTGTAACTTGTCGTAGGTCGGTTCTAAAACATCGGTGTCAATGGGAAAAGTATCGTTAGATGACGTAATGAATGCGCCTTAAGCGCGAAACAATATCGATACACGTTAGAACAGGTATGAAAAGTAATTAGCCTAGAATGAATTTTTCTTGGCGGGTTTCATATACGCGAATGTAGTTGTCCCTGAACGTTATTACGTATCAAAAGCGGATAAAAGCCACGGGGAAAAACATTCCTGACCGAGATTCTTTAATTCGGCTTACACATTGACTGAAAAATAATGTTTTTTTTAGCAACCTCAGGAATTTCAATTTATTCATGAATTTATTAATTTATCGCCATAAAAGAGAAGCGATTAAGGGATTAATTTTCCCTATAAAGTCTATTTAATGTTGATGTATATCTCCACCTATATAGTCATAAAGGAAGAGAACACATTTAATTTTATAATTCATAGATTTCACGGTATGTCATTGTATGAGAAAATAATAATGAGAAGCACATAAATACATCAGAGACAGAGAAATAGTTTTGAAGCGCACGTGATTGTTCAATTTTATAAGAATATTATATTTTATTCGAATAAAAAATCGTTCCTTATTCTCAAACATCTTTCTTTTCTTTAAAATTATTACTCTAATATTATTCAAACAATGCCTAACTCTGCAGGTACCTAACCCTAATCCTAATCTCCACTGAAATAAACTAAATTTTTGCAAATTGAATTTCAAGTAGCTGTTCAAATCGCACGACCTCTCGGGCAAGTCATTGTACAATTTGGCATGATAAATACATGACGAGTCGGAGACATCATCTAACTTCAACGAGTCAAGTGGTACTCTCAGATTTTGGCAACTCTCCGTTAATTAAAATGAGAGATGAAGAAGGAAAGAGGGCACGCGTTCACTTCAAAACGGAACTAAAGATCGTTAACTTACCCAGATTGTCGGGTTGGAAGTGATGATAGCTCGCGTGATGCGAGGTGTGATGACTCAGTGAAACATTTCTCATGGAAGTCGAAGTTTCTTGATGCTGTAATCTCTGTCTGGCCACCGCGATACCAACCGGGACACCACCAGCTCCTGCATTCGACACAACGATCCCTGAAACACAAAGGTACAGATTGTGGTCAGACAGACTGTCAGAAAGAAAGTAAATTCTCCTTCAGCGCCATTTTCCTGAGAGAAGCCTACTATGCTCGGCGTTGTACACCTTGCGATCTCTCTGACGGAGGATGTACAGGCTCACCCATCGACGTATCCGTTCGCTTACCATCGATGCAACTTTTCATCGCGATCACCATTGACTCGTCCACGACGACGAAAAACCATCAAACTCGAGAGGAATGATAAAGAAAAATAAAATGCAGAGGAAAGAAAAAGAAGAGAACCCCTTAACGCGACGTCGACGATCGATTTCCGCGACCAATTGGAATCAGATCTACCGAATGTGAATTCTCGCGCCGACGAATTGGGAGTGTTAAATGTTTAATTAAGATGTTAAAATGTTAAGTACAGCATCGAAGTAATGAAAATAGATCAAGATAATCATTTAAAAAAAATCGTTTGTAGAATAATTGATATGGAAATATATGAAAGATAAAAATAAAAATTTATTGGGCAGTGTAATTAAAAAGATAGGTACACCCAATGGGATAGATGGTAGGGTCGAGACTCTTTCGAGCCACGCCTTGTGTTTGTGTCGCCATGCATGCCACGCACCTCCTACTTAACAAGATCGTTTCTTTCCCTCTTCAATCCTCGTCGCTTCTCTCTCTTCTATCATTACTTTCCCACATCTTTCTCGACCCTTCCAACGTCTACCTTCATCCCTCTCCTTTCCTTTTTTTTTTCTTCTACTCTCTTTCCTCCACCCTTCGCAAAGTACTTTTTACCGTTCCTCTGTTCCCTCCGTCTTTTCGACATTTTCTACCTGCCGTTCTTATTATCATCGAAACAGTTACGATATATTGCCGGGAAAATGTTCATATTGCAATCTGATTACATCTACTTGGATTCTCTTTTTCTTTCGTGTCACGGGCACCCCTTTTGTCCGCAAGTTCACGCACACGTATACTTGTACAGATGTTTGAAGGGAACCTCGAGTAGCTTCCACTCGACGGACTCGATCTCTCATTGGTCGGTTGCGGTTAACATTCAACCCTTCGTTTCCTCCCCCTAATTGTGTATCCGCCGCAGAAATTAATCGACACACAGCAGTCTCGATGCGTCTGGGCGGTGCTCTTTTTCACCGTCCCAATGTTCGCCCTAAGAATTTTTTTCTTCGACTCGTTCTTTCAAAATCTTCCTCTAACGAATGAGTCCATCCCTCGATCGTCAAATGATAATTAAATGCGAATAGCAAATTTTTCTTCCTTACCAAAATTATTATTAAAAACTGTCTATATAGATAAGAGAACGCAACATCCATGAATTTAAGTGATTAGACGGACCACGAAGACAACCCTCTAACTATGCCTTCAACTTTCGAAGTATAACTATCTCTAGAAACGTTCTATTTGCAATACGTCAGGTTACTCGGTTTGTATCTCATATTTATCTTCTTACTAATCAACGTCAACGGTGTTCACCTTGTGCCTCGAATAATTAATGACCCACGAATTCTTCGGATTTTAGCAACCGGGTATATTTAACCCTTAAGGTCGGCAAAGTGTGTTGCCATAGTGGAAGATTCGTTGCTTTAGCTTCCAATTATTTTTGGATGTTTATCAGAGCAACGATCATTGAGTACGAAAGTTTTATATTAAAAAATTTCAGAACCGTGAATTTTGACGGTATTATATATGGTTAAGAAGAGGGGAACAAACCTCTGGATAAGTGCAAACAACTCGACCTCCGGTTAAAATGTAAATCGCTTAATTACATGCTCGACGACGTCGCCGGAAATTTTCCCAATTTGAAGAAGTCGCTGTTATCCAATTACACGGGTGTCCACGATTTAATTGCAGCCGATCGATAACGTTAACAATTAGTAATGACATTAAAACAACAGATTCGTTTAATACAAGACTGTTCAGACAAGAAGATCTCTACACTGAATATTCGAAAATATGTAAATTATACTAAATAATAAGTACGAGGTTGTTGTATATTAAATAACGGAAGTCCCGTACAAATTTCATGAAATAAAAACGGTAGAAATTGCAGATCAGTTTTAATGACACGCTGTACGGTCGAAAAAATCTGAATATGTTGACTCACCGTTTTCAGATTTCGAGGAGACGGGCTCAATTTTCACAGAGGTGGTGGTCGCGTGAAGGGACGTCGAGACTTCAGCTACCTGGCAGGGTACCGAAGCCAAAGGTTCCCTTTTCACCATATTGTTACCTCCATTGTTGTTCCCGTTGCAATTTGAATCCTGCCCGTTCCAGGACGATGCGACCGGCAGTGTCCTGCTGCAACCTGCATCGGAATGCACAGTTTTCGTTTTTCCTGAAATTCGCGAAATCAAATGGAAAAAAAAAAAAAATACTTTAGTTAAACTTTAACGCAAAGCTTTTGATAATCGATTAGAATATATCGTTTGAAAATCTTTACCGAACAATAATGCCGCGAACGAGCCAAAAGGTAAATTCTTCACGAAATCAACAATTGCGTGAATAACGCCAACATTAATTCCGTAGGCAACGGCGTGTATCGTGAAAAAAAAAAGGGCAATCTTGATCTTATCATTTGTGCCGTGAACATTTGTGCCACCAAGCGTGGCTATGTCGGAACAATTATACTGACTCCCAGAAGTATTCATCCCCCCATACCCATTATTAGGTCACCGTACTTAACGATGTGGATCCTTCCTTTTCTTTTTTATTTTCTTTATTGTGAAAGTATTCTAAAATATTCGATTCCTCTAACGAAAACAGCGTGTCCCTGTGTTTTTCATAATACCAATAACGAGCATAATCTCTGTAGGTCGGTATTTCCAAAACGTCAAAGAAAAGTTGGCTATCCTGGATCAAAGTCACTGGGTAAGCATCGTTTCTCGGTATTCCGTGTAATTTACCATGCAACGTTCGGGTAACGAATTGTGGCCTACAAAAGTCGTGGGAAGAGACGACTGCCGCCACGTGGTGGACAGGAATGAATCATGAAAACGAAGCGTAAAACTGACTTGGTCGAGGAGACGCCAAGGAGAAACTGGCAGCGATGCCAGTCGAGTCTTGCAATAAATATAGAAGAGAGAGAATCTTGCGTAAGCTCTTCATCCTTCTTCTTTTTCTTTCTTTTTCTTTTTTTTTTTTTTCATTTTCGCCTCTGCTCCTCCTTCTATGCCTATTTTTCTCTTTATTTACCCCATTTTCCTATCCAACCTCTACTACTTCTTTTTTTCATACCTTATCGTTGTAACTTTGTTTTTTAATTAAAAAAAAAAAATTAAACTACGTTTAAATCTGTATAACTTCAAGAAATTAGAATTTTAGAATAGCTGCTTAATTATGAAAACACATCATTTACTTCTCGGTGCAACTTGAAACTGTCATTACGAATAAACCATTCGCTAAGAAGCTGACGCGAGGGCATAGGAATCAAACGCAAATTCTTATATAAGAACGTGAAGTAACGAAGAACGTATAATTGAAACAACAACCGTGAAGTTTTATCCAAAAAGAAAAGAGCACTGAAAACTTTTCCCCTTAGAAAATATGTACATACCGTTGCTGTTTCTGCAAACACAGGGCTGTCTAGTCGATTTGTTCTCCAATTTCACCGGCTGACCTTGACTGGATAGGAAAGCCTCTCGTTTCTTCCCGCTAGCCTGGACAACTTGGTTGCCAGTCTGTCCACCCTGTACCACCATCGTGCTCGTGGTCGAGCTCGTGGGGCACGAGGTTCCGTTCACGGTGACCGAGCATCCGGTAGTCGAACCTGTAGGTGATTGATATTCCTGCAGCAATACTCCCGTGGTTGGCACCACGTTCCCTGTCGAATTCGGCGACGAGAAACTGTTGATCGTCAACGTCGGCGCGTTTCCGGTCACCAGAGACAGTTGCGGTGAGAATGTGTTCTGATGAAGTCCTCCTGTTGACGAGAACGATTCATCTCAAATGTATCAAATGTATTTTTGAAAAAAAGTAAACCATCTCGTAGGTGAACTTCGTTAAAATTGACACGCTACATTTAATTCGTATCCCTTGTTAGTCGAGAAACGTTGGTAAATTTGTTTTTCCTATGCGTTGCCTTCGTTATTTCAGAAAAATTCGAACCACTCACCGTGATGAAGATGATGAAGACCGGTCAGATTGAGGGTGTGCTGCGTGTGCTGGGTATGCTGTGTGTGTTGTGCGTGATGCAAACTGCCAACGTTCACCCCGACACCCTGAAGACTCAGCGCTTGTTGACCAGGAGGAGCTAGATTGGCCAAATTCTTAGCCAACAGCTCGAGCTGCGTAACCGGAACAGGACTGTACGGTGATCCTGGGGGTGGTGTGGGAGCACCCCAGGTGTAGCCACCCACGCCGACCCCCACAGCAGCAGAGAACACGCTCTCTGAAACTACAGAATTCGACGATTAATCGATCTGTTCCTCTTTTCCAGTCACAATGGCTGACGCTGAAGTGAAGCCAATTATATCGCCAATGTACACCACCCTGCCGCTACTCACGGCCTCCCAATATTTACTACAAATTTATTTGTATTTCTGTTTGCTATCGTGCAACGTGTAACAATATAGATATCGATGAATTTATATTTTTTCTGTTTTATTAAATCGATAAGGCGAAGCTTGGAAATTTTTCTTAGAAGTAATTAATAAATGAACAATTCCCTACCTGTTCGTTCTGCAAACAATCCGCAGCATGAGAAAATGAGAGACAACTAAGATTTATCGAAATTTACTATCAGATGTAATAAATTAAGAAGAAGAAAATTCAAAAGAATATCCATAATTTTAATTTTTCTAAATTTTGCACTGTTCTTTGAAAAATTATTCTTTCAATATACGAAACTCTTTCGTTTAACCTTCGAGTCTCGATGACCCCAAGGGTTAGTAATAGAAGAGTACGATTGAAAGTTATCAAAAAGAAGTTTGCAATTTTACCTCTAAATAAGAAGAAGTTTTAGTAAGGGGTCAAGCTAGAACCTTCAACCTCGCACGTATTCTTTCACGTTCGTTCTTTTTCCTGCACGTGTAGACACAGGCTCGTCGCGAACCGCGTTTTGGATTACACTTCGGACAATGAGGTCGTTAGAGGCGTGCGAAGGAAGCGGTGGAAAGTAGAAAGACGAAGCTCGCCACCCTCGCGCGTTTCGAGCCCCTCCACGTGAAATTTCCTCGTCCTTCTCTATCGAACGAGAAACTAGCCAGAGGAGAGCTTCACAATCAGCATTTGGTCAAGCGTTTCTCGTCCCCTTTCGATGTTGCCCGGAGAAGAGCTTGGGCCCCTCATTCACCCGGTTTAATTGCATAATTGCGCCATTGTACCGGTGCGTAGGGGCCCGTGAAAGGGCAGCCCTACCAACGGCGTGGGGTACAGCCTCTCGAGATGAGAAAAAACGTCGAATGGGACCCCTTTGAACCTGAACGAGTCCGTCAGGTAGCGAGGAATTCGACGCGTACCACTCGCATTCTACACTCGCCGATCTAATTAGTCGAATAGCAGACAAAACCTAATCAATCGACTCCCTCGCTTCTCGATATCCGCGATTCAACTATTATCATTTCTTCAGCTTCGGAGATAACGCGTGCACTCCGAGTCAAAGGTGAATGAACAGCTGCTAAATAGAGAATTCCATGTTTAACCCTTCTAACACTGTACTTTCCACGTATTGCATTCAACGATGGCTTTTTTTTCTCAAAATGTGCGGCATCCCTCTCGTAATTACTGTAAGCAGAGAGTTTGTACGTTTGTACAATCAAGGGAATACCTGAAACGTTTCCGTTGCCCTTAATCTACACCCGAAATTTCCCATTATTTGTAAGCAGCTGCAGCAGGTGAGCCGCAGTACGCGTCGGACAATCATTAATGCCGAGCGCGTATTATTTCATTTAGATCACATCTTGCCGAACAAATTATCGGCACGCACGTGTTTGAAAAGTCGCCCGGACATAAAGCCGTTTCGAGGCTTTCCGAAGGTTCCGATATCGAGCGAACAGCTGCCCTCTGCTGTAACTCGAATTTATCCTTTCCCGAAATTCGTATGTCTCAACTACCTAGTCTATGTTCACCTTACCGAATAATTATTGAAAAATACGAGACGTTTGGAAGAATTGATTTTTCAGTTGACCGTCCAGTTAAATGTACGGAAATCAACGTGCAAAGGAAAAAGTCTCTGCGAACGCAATGGAAATGCGAAAGGCGGAGAGAAAAAAAGAGAGATTCAGAAAACTTGGAGAACAAATTATGAAAAACCTGTGTTATTTGAAGCAAACTATAGTCCATCCAACGAGACGAGACAGTAAATGTGTACTAATTTATGTGCTCGAAGCAGACCTGGCTCGCGGTACACAGACCTCGACCGAAGCGTTCGAAGAACTGACAACAACTGTGCTCCGACCCTGGGTGGAGCGCGTGAATTTGTAAACATATGAATTTCATCTAATGTTAATTCATTTGTCAAATTACTTCTAACGTACTTGGATTTGGGGCATACGTTATTTTGTATTCTTTGAGAGAAATAGGAGAAAATAGAAATCGTTGCAAACTTACCCTTATGTGTTGTCGCGTGATAAGCTCGTGCAGGTGTGGGTGGTCCAGGGGTGGCGGGAGTCGCCGCGACGTAACTACCCCCGCCACCCCCAGGGAATAACGAGTACAGCCCGTAACGATTCACACCTGTAACATCATTAAGATGAAGGTTATTCACACCATGCAATACGCTCAGTGCATCAAGTTTGCATTCTACCTTGACATAATCAATGAAATTATATTTTCTTGCGTGTAGATATTTTGATTGTTGAAGAGAATTAATGAGCAATATTTATTTTTATTAATAATACAGAATAATATTGCATAATGAATTACTGTGTTGTATAGTAAGAGTCAATGAAATACTTGGAATGTGATCATTCTATCTTTATTATTGTTTTATAAAAATTTCGAAAAACAATTTTTAAAAATGCATCGAATGAAAACGTGAAAATCCTTTCATTGTTTAAACACAAGTTTATGTATTAAAATAATTCAATACGGGTAAATACCAAACAATTATTTAAAATTAATCGAAAAAATATGTTTTTTAAAATATTGGAATTGTTGAATTATTTATTTGTAGTAGAAATAAGAAAAAATAAAAGCAAGGAAATGGAAAAAAAAAATATTTGCCGAAACCCGGGATCGAACCAGGGACATTTAGATCTTCAGTCTAACGCTCTCCCAACTGAGCTATTTCGGCTCTTGGTTATCCAGTCTTTCCTACTGTACTTCTACGGAGACGTCCACAAAAGGAGAAAAATTATAAAAAACACCGCTTGCCAAAACCCGGGATTGAACCGGGGACATTTAGATCTTCAGTCTAACGCTCTCCCAACTGAGCTATTTTGGCCGATGGAAACTACCCTTCTACAATTCTATTTTATAACTGATACTACACTAACAATTTAATACAGCATGGAACAATTAATTAATTAATAATATAAAATTGTATTCTTCCTATTAAAATAATATTATTTTATCAAATTGTTTGAGAAGAAATTTTGAAAATAATTCAACGTAAAATCGCTACATCATACGATCTGTAATTTCATTATTATAGCATTTAAAGCAAAAATAATTGAAACATAAAATTAAAATGTATTTTTACGATGAATAATATTTCCCTTTTTCCATTTGAAAAAGTATGAATTATGTAACGTGTACACGCGTATACGCAAACGAATATGAATAGATAATGAGTTTTATAAATTATGGAATTTGCGATGCATCAAATTGAACATTCTGAATTACCATTTTCTTCGAAATTATAAATTGTATTCTATTTAATAGGATTTCCGTAATTTTCGTGTAGTGCTATCAATAATAACTGATCGTGCAAATATCAATTTATAAATATCCACCTATACAATGTATAACAATTTCAAAATTGAAAAATTCTAATTAATAATCACTTATTCCTGTTCATCGAAGTACTAGACTATAAAATAAGAAACTCGTAGTTTCTTTTTTACTAAACGAAGATCGTTTCTCTACTCTTGAATCGATCAAATATAAAGAAGGGTACAAAGAAACTTGTGATAACGTTAGATAAGTTTCTATTGCAGCTAAGTTACATTGGACCTGAGTGTACATACCTTGACTGTGAGCCGGCGCGGGGGTGGCAGCCAAGGGTGGAATGCCCTGAGACTGTTGATTCGGAATTTGATTGGACTGCGCGGGCGCCAAGGGCCATAGGGTTGCTGCCGCGGCAGGGCCGGACGTCTGTTGAGCCCGGGCACCCGTATCGCCCACGGGACGATCCGGAGTCCCACTTTGGGCTACGGGAGGGACCAACATCGAACCTCCCCCTCCCGAGGCTGAAAATAAAAAGATAAATAAATTAATACCTGTTCTAACTTCCGTGGTAGATTTGATGCGTGTAAGCATTGATTAATTCCGATCCACAGTTTCTTTTTCTACATAACATAAAAAGTACATATATATTTGATTTCCTATTTTACTTTATTTTCCTCTACATTCACTTTATACCATTAATTCTCGATTCCCGACCAGGCATATACACGTCGCACGCAGCGAAAGGGTTAAGCGCATTAACCCCTCGAGTGCTTAGTTCTCTGAACGTAAATTCTTGCTAGGAACAGGACATGGCTGACAGGAACACGAATCTACTCAAATATGAATCACATAAGCCTGTGGTCAGTTAGAACACTGATGATTTTTTCTTGCTTCAAAACAAGGCAGTACTATAATGGACTATAATTAATTTTACATTAGCATAGAGAAACGAACTAAGAAAAAAATAAAAAAAAATCACAATTTTCCTTCTTCTCTAGAAAAAACGAAATAGAAGGAAAAGGAAAAGGATGAGTAAAACAGGGATCAGGGAAGAAGGAAGCTGCAATGTATCGTCATCGAGAAGAAGAAAGGAAAAGAGGAGACAGCGATAGATAAAGGTGGGTTTAGAATATAGAACCTTTTCAATGTGTTGAACGAAGCGAGAGTGTTCCATTTCCTTGCTAGGAGGGGGAGTTACAGAAGGGATGGCCACGGAGGGTTGAGAAGCAGTGGAAACGAAGAAGGGGTAGCAACAGGTCGGCAAGCATAATGTGGACTCTTAGATACACCTACACACACACACGCGTTCGTGTTTTGTACACATACATATTAAGCCAGCCAGAAAGTTTCGTCTTCGAGCAACATAAGATTTATTATTAGATTTAGAAATGTAATATTTTTGACTTTTTAATAAAATAAAATCAAAATCTTTGTCTATGAAAGGCGTACCTATACGCTCTCGTATATTAACCCTCGAACGTCGGACCATGGAGAGAGCCCGAATTTTAATTTAAACGGTGTATTCGTTTCTACACCTTTGCAGAAAAAATAAGAAAAATTGGTGGACGAATCAGGTTTCTACAAGCACGTGTTCACCATTTTCCAGCCATAAAGAGACCAGTTCCACGTCGTCAGGTAGTCACGATTCCTAGCGATCCTTCTCGTACCCTACCGACCTGAAAACCTGTTCTCCTATCCCTCCAACACCCCCATGGTCCTTTGCCCATCTTCAACTACTTCCTTGCAGCGCCAGAAGCGAGAGAAATTACAAAATTAAGCCGCTGTCGGGACTTGAAACTTTTCGTTCTCTTCCTTGATACTCCTTTCGTGTTTCTTTCTTTCCTTTTCTTTTTCCAAATCTCTTCAACAATAAGAATGAAAAGTGTCAGTAATTAGTAAGACTGCGTAAAAATGACCCGGTATACCTATTTCTTTCCCCTTATTCAGACTTTCTGACTTCGTATGCTCCCTTTTCCTCAATTTGCCAGGTCGCCTCGCTTGCGCAATCCTGTGCAACCCTATTCTCAAACACGTGCCTCCACCCGGCACTGTATACTCACCAATACCGAGTTCCACACACGGCTATACGTGTGCCTGTGTGTACACACATATCGATTTTTGGTAGACCAGCGGTGCTTCGGCTGAAATTTCGGTAGAAACGGGGTTAACTTATCGAGAGAGAGAGAGAGGAATAGGGAAGAGGGTTGTTCCTATCGACCTCACTGATTAATTCCATTTTATACAATTTTAGAACGACTGGTGCTAAATTGTTTGCTTTATAAATAGAGAAAATTATTTCAATATTTTCTCTGATTCGTATGGGGGGTAGTTTTCACCCTATCCTGTGTGCTCCGAGATTAAATGATTGTATCCTTAATGATTATTATACATCCACGTTCGGTAAAGTAGAGAAGGTATCAAGTGATAAAGAAACGCTAAGTTTTCACGTTTATTCCTCGTTTGAAAGGAAAGACTGGAGGCGGAGAGCCTTGGAGAACCGTGGTCCGCCCCTGAGAGAAATGCACATTAAGTCCCCGACACAACAATAGACTCGATTAGACAGTTGTCTCTCTACTCCTTCTCTTTCCTCCTACTTCAGATCCAAAGACCGTTCTCCATCTACGGCGGCAAAGACTCGACTACGTTTCTCTTTCTTCGATCATAAAGAGGCCGTCGAGCAACGATACACGCAGAATCGACGAAATCGAGGAAATGTGTTGACACTCTTCATAGTTCAAAAGCTTCCGATTACAGATACTTGATTCTCTTTCTGCAGGTGAAAAGGAAAATTGTGAGTACTTGACTCGAAACGTTAATAATCCAGAGCAAAGGGATGCACTTAACCCGTTGGGTGATAGATAAGTTACAGGTAGCTCAAACGAAGTTTACGATAAGTTAGAAGATCAAATTAATAAATAATAATTCTTCAAGAACTTTCAAGAATTAACGATACCGTACGCGAACGAGCATTATCTTCAGGAAAAACCACACCTTTTCTCTGTAAAGCACGTTTCTTCTTCTTTTCTTTATTTTTTTTCAATACTGTAACCTTCACTTTATTTTTAAACATATATCTATAGTAGTGATTATTGCTCATTTATAAAATAATCACTTTATACCTTTATCGAAGAAGTGGTTTTATGCCTTTGGCCGACTAGGTAGGTTCTCGCGTGATGTTTGATGACATATTTTCAGTCGATCAGATAAACGGTATAAAAAAATAGCATACGGTTTGAAAAAAAAAAAAATTGCGAACCTTCATCGCGTTTCTCGCATACCCGGAGGAATTAAGATCAAACGATGTTTGAAAATCCTTCGCGTGAAAAATACTTGCGTGACCAGGGTGAATTTGAAATCTAAGGAATCTAAGGAGAAGAAAAACGAGACCTCTGACTTTTGCTTATTGGAATAAATTAGATGGAGAGCACGGAACGCGCGAGCTTTGTATGCAACAAATTTTGGAAAAAAATATAAATGTATTTTTAGCATTTAACTACTTATACCGCTAATTCTGCTTCTTCGTTTCCTTTTTTATCGACACAAAAAGCAAGGAGCGGTTGGTTCGTGTGTAGGACGAAATGGCGTTTCGATTTTTAATTACCGCAGACTAGATTGTTTCTTTCCGAGCCTCGTTTCATTATATCCCGCGTCGATGAATAATTGCTCCCTATTGGACGCTGTTTAATGGAATACGATTGAAATTTTTGGCACAATTTCCCTGTACCTCGCGCACCTGGCCAATTTCCTCCGCTATCGATTGTGTATACAGGCTCTGGGCTGCCTCCACCGTCCCAATTTATTCCTCTTACTTCCCACAATTTTTAAACAAAAAAAAAATAGAACAAATTATCGCACAACGAGCGACAAGTGTATTTCAACAGAACAAAATTCTACCGAACGTTTATCCAACGGAGAAAGGATATTTTTACCATCCTAGTAACTGAAATAACAAATGACAAATATTTTATGTCATTATTGCGGTATCAACTTCCGTTACTGGAGGAATACGATTCGCCAAACATCCCGGAAACGAGTGTTTTCCTTAGCATAAAAGATACCGTTTGTGAAACGACCGATAGGAAAGGAAGGCGGTTGCAACGTTGCAACCGTGGGAGGGTGCAGCAAACTTTTATTGCATCCGCAATAAAACAGACGGTGTAGATGCTCGCGATTTGCTCGATCCTGTCGCAAGATGCCAGTTCTTTCAAAACGTACATCGTATGGAAATGGGGATAAATGTGTCTTTACGTAGGAAAGGTTCAAAAATATAGAATTCGATTCGCGACAGAAGAAACATTAAATGTTTTAACGCTACTCGTAACGATCGAAACTAGAATTAGCGTCGATGATCATTATATTATCCTAAATTGGAAATAGTGAAAACGGTGCGGCTCGAATGATGCGTATCCCCTCGTTAACCTAATCATATCATCGATCCGGAAGCTATAGAAATTTAATCGAATCAATTTCTCTGAAATTTCATAATTAATCGTCTCGTTGTATTACTCGTTCCATCGTTCAACTATTCTATAACAGAGGACAAACTTTTGCAAGAAATTCTAAGAGAAATAAGAATGCAGACACACACAGACACAGATCGCAATTTCTAGAAAGTAAAAACGAAAAACAGATATAATAATGCTGCGGACGATCGTGCAAACGTGCAAAAATCTTGTTAGCGTGTAAAAGACAAGCTGCTACGTTCTCATGAACTTTTTTAACCGCTGAAAAGAAACACGCAAATGGCTAAGGAACTTTGAAAGAAAATAAAAAAAAAGAAAAAGAAGAAGATGATGAAAAGCGTCGCGTTTCTTCAGCTAGCAACGATGCGCAAACCGTTGATAGTAAAATGGACTCACCAGAAATCAGAAAATCGATCAGAAACGATCTTTCTTTCCTTTTTCCCAAGATTCTTTAAATTCCCACCGATCTGATGGAGACGGTACTGCACCTCCGATTATATTTTATGCTCCCCGTTCCTCTCTCTCTCTTTGCCTTGCGAGTTTCTGGTTAAAAATGTAAATGGACATTATTTTTAATTATCATGACTTAGAAATATAATATACAGGGTGTTCGGCAAGGGTGGGCATCCTTCGAAGGGAGGGTAGCTAGGGTGATTCTGAACACCCTGTATAGCATCTACTTTATAAGTAACATTATTTCATTAGAAATAAAATTTTCAAATGAAAGTTAGATCAGCACTGATACATCCGGTTTCAACGATCGCATTTACATACGAACGAAACTCTGATGTAAATGAATTTTTTACAGAAAAAGAAAAATACTCCACTTTTTTAAGTAGACGTGAAAATGTATAAATACCGAGTAACGCAGAGCAAATAACACGGTATTTACATTTAATTAACACGGTGAGTACATGTATACGCACACGTGGATTACTCGATCGAGAAGGGTTAGAACAGAATTGTTGTCGAACTTTTAAGAGGAATTTTAGAAATGTAATAAATATTGCTTTTTATTTTTGAACAGAAATTACCAGTTCGATGACACTGTTTCTTTTTTTCTTCTTTCCTTTATCAACGAAACCTTTTCATTTTATTCCCCGTTCCTAAAAGAAACGTCCCCGGGGAACGGTGTCCTGGAAAGAGAGAGTCTATCTCGATAAACTTCCAGCCACCCCTTGGTGTGCACCGAATGATATTCTATTCCCTGCCACCGCCACCCTCTGCGCTGAATGTCCCAGCATTTCTCTATGTGCAATATACAATGTCCCGAAACGACTAATATAACACGAAATAGGGTGATTTTGGAAGAGGAGGTCAGTGAAATATATAAATTACTAGTAAAATTATCTGGCATTATTTCGACAGTGTCATTTTCAAATCTAGGATATTTGTTTAAAAAAAATCACCAAAATGATTGATTAAAATTATTACGATACATAAGATAACCGATTGCTTTCGAAAAGAATTCTCAATAAAAATACACTGGACCCAATGGAACGTGTATAAAATCTGAAAGCAAGGGAATAATACGGTATTATCGAATCGATTGCAAAGAGAAAAGGAGTACAACAGTGCATTCCGAATAAAAAGTTTCCGACAGATCAGTTTTAAACTACCGAACCACAGTTGTCCGGAAAAATGGTCCAACACGAACGGCTACGGATACTAAATAACCGGAAGAAACTGGCAAACAAAAAAATAAAAAGAAAAGTTCTATAAAAGGTATCAGGTAACGATAAATCAAACTCCAGTATTCGAACGTACATATTTCCCCGATATTTCTATTTGATGTATTCAATTTTTCGAGCGAAAGAGTGAGAAGTAACGAAATGTGATACAGACACCATTAAACGTGGAATTTGAATAATGATACGAGGTTAAACCACATTTTATATAAAGTGTATTTCAATAATTTGAAGACGGAACTAAATTACAAACTCGCTAACTTGTGCCAAGGGGCTCTCTCCATGGTCCGCCGTTTGGGGATTGAAATAAAAATGAAGCGTTGACAATGAATCACGCGATGAAGGGTTAAACTGATACAAAAATTATATTTATAAAATATTAAAACGTATAATTGGAATTTTGACGAATACATACGCCTGGAAAGTTTGGCGTGACCATTTTTTGAACTTCCTGTACACGCGGGGGTATGAATAAAAGATGAGACGCGAACGAAGGAAACCTAATGAATAGTGTCAATGAGATGGAAAGACGGACGGTGAGAGGAGAGAGAGAGAAGAAAACAAGCAACTCCGGAAGAAATAAAAGCGACTGAATTATGAACCTTCCGTGAGATCGCGATCAAGCAAATTATGAAAAGGGCGAGTGGGTTCAGAGTTTCGTAAAAGTATTCCAAATTATATTTAATAATTAAACCCTCTTACTGTACCGAGGTATACGCGACCCGAACGACGGTAATAAAATTGAGGAAACTATTCCATTTTCTGTCGGCGTACAAAATAGACGAATACCTCTTGGAGAGCAAGCGTAAAAACGTTCAAGGATCTCTTTCTTTCTCTTCGTTCATTGTTGCGGTTAGAAGAGACCTTGGCCAGAAGAAGTTCCTTACGAGGAAGAACCTTGACTGACGATTCGCTGCTAGGAAGATGAGTCACGAGGCTGCAACGAAATCGATCGTGGCCAAAGTCCTGACTGTCTTCCTCTTCGACCATGGATTCTCCTGGCTCTTCACGAGAGAACAGGTGGTACTGACACGGGATTATTCCAGATGGCGTTGTCCGATAGTAATTCGATTGCGATGCTGAAGAAATTTGGGGTGTTCCCGAAAATTAATACTCCGATGGTCGCACCCTAACTAAATAGGAACCAGGGTGGTACTGGACTCTTCGAAATGCGGACAGACCTCTAAATTCAAGAAATCGACGTTTCTTCTGTTGTACAGTTAGCTATTGTTTCAAGAAGGTCAACTTTTCTTTGTGAAGAGGAGGGCTCGTAAATAGGAGACCCCTATTTTTATTTATGACGGGGAATACTACTTGTTCCCTAAACTGGGACCAATTAGATTTTGTGGATTCAGTGTTGTCAATAGCTGGATTCCTTTTGCCCTTGCATTGTGGTACAGCCTGTACGAAACTACAGTCTAGTTATTACATTCCAGTCGTCGCGGTCTTTGCCAACGGCGTTGTATGATCGAGAAAGGGAAAATGGTCGACGGTTCTCGTAATGTTGGCACGTTGCTATGTTAGCGATGTCTCGCTAACAGTCCACTTGAGTCAACAGACGACTGATTGTTAAGGCAAACATACACTGCCACGATCCTACGAGTCTCTTCTATCTTTGGGTGTCTCCCTTCGTGGATCATCCACCAGCCATATCGTCAAATGACTCGAAGAAACTCTGGTCAGTTTTCGAAAGTGTTAGGTCATTAGATATTTTTATTTCATAAAATTATGTCAGACCTTTTGTCCCTCCAGCTCTGACATTTGCATGCAACCATCTGATACGTATTCTTGTTTACATTAATTTGTAAAAAGGGCAATCCAGGTAGAAATTTTTTCTCTACCACACAGCAAATTCAACCATCGATTCTCTTATCGGTTAAACGATAAATCCGGAACACTAGTCGAATCCCCTGTCCGCTCGATAAATTATCGAGAAACAATCGAGAAATTTATGCAAAGTACGACTGTCCAAACAACGACTAACGCTCGAAATTCACACAAATTAATCTAATCGTTTAATCAACTCATGTTTATATTACTTGAACACACAAATTTTACGAGAAATAAACCGAAAGTGGCGTGGAATGCAAATTTTCTTATTTTTACTTTCGTTTTTCAGAAAAACAAAGTAAATGAACGTAACGTGTAATGCGCTTAAGTTTCGAACTATAGGAAACTATAGATAGTCCACGTAGCATAATAAAATTATTACTTTAATAAGGGAATCGGGTGCAAGAAAATCTCATTAAAATTCCTTTAATGTTTACCTTCCCTTCGTTAACGAAGGAGAGAGTACCTTTTAACATAATTAGGCCAGTGTAATCTAATAACGATATACAGTCGATGCAGCAGGCAGATTCTCAATTCGATAGTCGTTCTTCGTGCTAAAATGGTTAAAAATGATTGAAATAAGATTTTCAAGCGAAACGCTAGGAGTTGGAAGAAAATCGGTGACAATGACCGCTACGTCGGGGCGTTTTGACGCGGAATGGCTCGCACAGGAATGCGTTAACAAACGCGAAGGGAAGCATTCGTACGAGGTACACTGGAACGACCTTCCACGCCCCAAAGAAATCCGATTACGACTCAATAATGAAAAACCACTCGAGGAATTTTTCCTCCATGGACAAAGAGACTGGTCAGAAAATACGTGGTCTGCCACTGACGAGGAGGGAACACGTTGCTGGAATGGTCGGTCCTTAAGCCGAGACCTAACCAGGGTCCTACAGGGACCCAGGCCAGGTCCGCAGTACCTACCTATCCACCGAAACACCATTCTCCATTTCTCTCTAACTGCTTATCCTGTATCTCGCTTTTTCCCTTGGCTACTCTCTCCATCTTGCCTGTTTACTCGCCCCGTGGTCACGGTTCCCGTGTCCATCAGGGGTGCTCATTCGTCCTCTCTACGCGAATCGGCGAATTCAAAGGCGAAACAAAATTGTTCCTTACATCAAACCAGTTAAGAAGACGTAAATTTCGCCCTTGTTTCAAAAAAACGCACGCTATGATCCCGTGGAATTATTACTTTCCTCTGACCTTATAATTGCGCAAAGTTTGCAGCTAATGGGGGTCCTAAAGTTTATGAGCTTCCCTTGTAAGATTCACTGATAAGGCAGCGGAAGAATGAGAGAGATAAAGAACGAGGGATGAAAACGTAAGATAAAAAGGGACAAAGAAAACGCGAGTGGGAAGGAAAGAGATAGAAATGAATGAATAGAACGAAAGCAAAAGAGGAGAGAGGGAGATAGCTGTTCGAAGGTATACAGGGTGTCTCACCTACTTGGGCCAAGCTGTAACTATAAAACGTTTTAGAGCTGTAACTTGGTCCAATTGCATGGTACACCCTGTATGGATACAGCATTCCAGGACCCAGTCCTCTGTTTATCCCTTTGCCAGGATCAGGGTCAACATCAGGATCGTTCAATGGACAGGCGAACCTTTAAGCATCCCCCTCGCGGCTGCATCGACCATACAAATAGCCCGATGCGGGTCCAATTCCATTTCTACGATTTCAGCAAATATTTTATTTTGCCACGATTCGATATACGTTTCTAGTAAAATAGACGTATGTTAATATGACGCGTTATAATTTTAACCCTCGGACGGCGGACCATGGAGAAAGACTCAATATTAATTTTATTTTGTAAGTTTCGATCACGGTTCATTCAGACTCCTCTGTTCAACTGCTGGTTATTAAAAATATAATTATTTAATTTATATTTTAAACTTTCTACTTGCTTTACTAGATACCCTTACTGAAAACGAAACTGCGAACAATATAATATCATGTTCAGAAAGTTCGGATATAAAACGCGGTTCTATTGCCAGGATGTATATCGCTTTACGGCAAACCTT